GGGAGTGTTTCAAACCCAGTCAAGCACTTTAGAACTGTGTAAGTATTGGATCCGCTCGTACAGCGTACACCAATTGGGCCGCCACAATATGTCTGCTGATCGAATTTCCCTCCTGAAGCATGCTGGTCTCTGCCGTCATGGCCGGGGAAATTCGTTGGCCCATATAACGCACTCATCACCATACCATGCCATGGGATGCCACATCCATACCATGGCCCAAATAAAAAAATTACCGTGGTAGTGGATAAACTAGCATACCGCTTTCTACCTCGTAAACACTGTCTGAACCGTACTGACTGATCCGCGAACAACAGGAAAACTCAAACCGACCTCTCTGACTACAACAGGGTCTGGCGAAACCCAGTTTCGGAATGCTACTGAGGAACGGCTGACAGCAGAAGTTACCGGTTTGCTCGGCAATTCGCTAAAGCATGACCCCAGCTTCTCCTTCTGGCAGATGATGAGTTTACACCTCCTCCATCGCTCCTCTCTCTCTACCCGCTGCTTGTGTCAGACCCAACCCGCACGGATTTTCACTTCCCTCCCATCTCTTCTGCCAGCCGCCTCCCAGCGATTATAGCGGCTCAATTTAGCAGCACGCTTCGGGAAACGGATCGCGGCGGCTGGACGAGCGTAAGCATTATAGTACACGTCACTAGATTCTCGAATCTTGTGTTCCAAACCGTGTTTTTTTTCCGGGCCGTACGTGTCCCAAATTGAGGACATCGATTTTTGTTGCACGTTGGGCGGTCCAATTAGACGCTGGGTACATTTGGCGGTCCAATCAGAGCTGGGTTCATCTTGTCGGCGATTTTTTCTGATCCATCCACCATTCTCCACGGTGGCACGTTTTGGGACCACCAAGCGAGCAAGGCGAATTTCCAACGGTTCACCGTTTTTCACCGAGTAGCTCATCCCAACGGTCCGTAGTCAGACATTCCACGCATCCTCAGGCTCACGTCACATTCCGGCTCTTCTTCTTGGAATTTCATTTTATTTCTGCAGCCATCTAGGCATTTTGCTAGTGAGCTTGGCTTCCGATCGCTCTACCAGTTCGAATCATCACCATCTTCTCACGTCGACACCGTTCAGCCAGGCCTGGATCGTATGGTCGGCTCGCGGAGCTTCAGAACCTCGACCGTCGGAGTTTCTGCAACGTAGCGAGTCAACTTCGCTTGTCGTCGTTTCTTACATCATGTACAACGACCATCCTTATCACGCTCTCGTACCAGCGACTTGATTTCGTCGTTTCTTGATTTCGACCTTCAGTTTATTTCGACTCAGATTCTGACAATGGTTCTCATTGTTCTATTATGCGCAGGATGCCATGGTAAGCATCGGATCGTCGTGGATCCGCATCTCTTCATCATCCTCTTCGCGACGCTGGCTACGACGCGCCTAAAGCGACACCGATCTCCCCGACTTGTGACGGTGAAGGTTGAATGTATCAACTTCCACCACCCTCACCACAGAGCCTCCTCCCTGGTAAAGGTTTGGTAAAGGTTTGGTACAGGTTCGGTAAAGGTTCTCAGGAGGTATTTGGTTGGTATTGGCTCTGTGGTGGGGCAGCACATGTTTCGTCCACGTTTGCAAAGTTTTCATTTCCTTTGCATCCTTTCTTCACTTCCGTCTACTAACATTGTTTTTTCTTACACTTGCAGATTTCAATGGAGGCGGCTACGCGTATTTCCGAAGATTTCAGAGGAGGAACGGCCTTCGAAACAACAGAGGAGCATCTCCACGAATGAAGGTTGAAAGTATCAACCTCACACTCCACACTGCACAGAGCCACCCCCTGGTTAAGGTTAGGTACAGGTTGAGGTGTGGTAAAGGTCCCCCTGAAGGTTTTTTCGGTTGGTATTTGGCTCAGCAACACATGTTTTTTTCCACGCTTCTTTTCGTTTTGCATGCTTCTATGCCCGACCTTTACTAATTCAATTTATTTCCGTTCTTGCAGGTTCTATTGAGGGTCTTCTGCGCTCTTCCGAGGATTTCCGAGGAGCAACACCCTTATGCGGCCTTCCATGCTTTGCGGACAACAGAGGAGCAGCTCCATTAGTGAAGGTTGAACGTATCCCCTCCTTCACACTCCAAAGAGCCACCCCCGGTTGAGGTTAGGTACAGGTTGAGGTGTGGTAAAGGTCCCCTGAAGGTTTTTCGGTTGGTATTTGGCTCTGTTTTTCCACGCTTTTTTTCGTTTTGCATGCTTTCTTTTCCCCGACCTTTACTAATTCTTGTTTATTTCTTTACTCGCAGGTTCTATTTGAGGGTCCACTGCGTTCTTCAAATGGTGGCCTTCCATGCTTCATGGCGGGCAGCAGAAGAGGACTTCACGGCTGGTGAAGGTGAAGGTGAAGGTTGAAGTATCAACCACACACACCCTCCACGCTCCTCAGAGCCACCCCCCTTGGTTCAGGTTGAGGTTATGGTTAAGGTCCAGGTTGGTAAAGGTGGTAAAGGTTCCCCTAAGGTATTTTGGTTGGTATTAGCTCTGCAGGCAGCACACACTTGCACCACACTTGCAGCACCGTTCATTTCTGCATGTTTTTTTCACTTCTGTTTACTAACTTAGTTCCCTTGATCTCTTGCAGGTTATATTTATCTTTTTTTAAGGCGGGGTGAACGTACCTGCCAACAGCACCTGGCAGGTGCCTTCTCTTTCTCCACCAGCAGTAAGTTTCACTCATCATTTTTATCACTTGCTGCATGTTGGTACGTTTTCTTGCATTGACTCGGCTTTCTAACTTGGAATTTTTTATTTCACTTGGCAGGTTGCTTCACCAAGGGATTTTCAGCATTCTCAAGAATCAAGATCCATGGAAGCACCATGACCTTGTTTTTTGAGGCAACTCAAGGCTCAACTGTGGCAAGATATGTACCAACTCCAGCCTTTTCCTTTGATTACTCGCTCCAATGCTCGTCCACTGCTTACTCCAAGCTTCTTGATTCCTAGTTTTTTTTTTCAAGTTGTGCTTCAACTCGTCATTGACTGACTTGTTTTGTTTCGCCTCATGGCAGGTTCTCCAAGCGCCATGTGCACACTATGGACCCCCAAGGCCTTGCGCACCGCGCTACAGTCCAGCAGGCCCAAGATTCATGGAAGCACCATGGCCTTGTTTTCTGAGGCGCCTCAAGGCTCAACTGTGGCAAGATAAGTACCAACTCCAGCCTTTTCCTTTCGCTCCAATGCTCGTCTACTGCTCACTCCAAGCTTCTTGATTCCTTGTTTTTTTTTCAAGTTGTGCTTCAACTCGTCATTGACTGACTTGTTTTATTTCGCCTCATGGCAGGTTCTTCAAGCGCCATGTGCACGCCATGGACCCCCAAGGTCTTGCACCTCGCCACAGTCCAGCAAGCCCAAGATCCATGATGGCACCTTGGCCTGCTGAGGCGCTTCAAGGTTCAGCCTTCGCTCCCCAGTCCAGACTCTTCAACCTCAGATAAGTTTCAGCCTTTACCATCAAGATCCCTTTTTTATGCACATGGCTTTATTTGCTGATTTGCTTCAATCCATGTTGCATTTTTTCTGTTCTTTTCTTTTCGATCCTGTACTAATATGTGTCTTTCTCCACTTCTGTCTGCAGGTGCCTTCATGGTGTCTGTGGATGTGGCGACGTGGCCAGTGCACGAGATGGGGGTGGAGCTTTTGAGCATTGGCTGGGGACTCGATTCCGGGCCAAACCGGACTGGTTCTGTCCCCTCCCGCCCCCGCCAAGTGACAAAGCTGTCTGGCCAGCAGTGATGTCATTTGGTGGAGGTGGGGAAGAACAGAGCCAGTCCCTAGTAGGGCACCCGCACGTCTTGGTCCTGGCAATGCTCAAGGCCCACCATCCCTCTCTGCCTGTGCGGTGCACTGCCAGTCCATGCCGGGGTGGGCATGGATGGCATGTCATCCTGTCACTGAAGCTAGTCCACTTTCACTGGCTAGCTTGACTTCCGTAGTCCCCAGAGGACATGTAAACATGTGGTTGATAGGAGTAGATACAATCAACTACAGTTGCTGAGTGTACCTCAGATATTAGGAGATTGTAATAATGATTTTTTAGGCAGAGCACAGAGTGCCTTGCACTTCGGAAATACTGGACCAGTAGTTACTGATAGGTACGGTATAATGAAGTACCGTATGCTGACTGAGGATGGTGAGGTACGGTAAGGTACACCCACCACACAACCAAACCAAGGCAAACTAATCACCCAACAAAGGAAGCAGGCTTGCCTTGTTAGATACAGGTACATACACCACTTCCATTCCATGGCGACCACTTGTTCAGATACGGTATTGCTGAAGTCCGTTAGTGATGATGCACTGTCCTGTCCAGTGCTACGGTAGTACCGGCAGATTTCACATGAGCATGCACAAACTCAGTCTTCATACCACGGTATAATTTACGGTACGGTACGTCCAGTCAAACGTATGGCAAGGTCCCTAACTTGCATGACACACTCCAACTCTGCACCTGTGCGATAGTTATGATGGTGTGGGGATAGCCCGCAAGAAGATGCGGGAGAGAACAGTGAGGGAAATACTCACTGTCGGACATGGGAGGATGTCGAGGGGGAGGATGTGGTGCACGGTAGCTTCGAAACTCTTGAACTCTTGTTTCTTGTCAGTCCCTGTCACCACCACTGTATGCATGTGTGGGCCCTGGACTCCCGCCAGGTTAGCTGCCTGGCTGGCTAGATGCTTGGCTAATAGGCTGGTACGCTGGCTGACTGGTAGGCTGGCTAGCTGGTTGGTTGAAGGCACGAGAGCTGTGGGTGCACACATGGATGGCGGCTTGGCCCTGAGCAAAAAGCCCGCAGAGCTTCTTGTTCAGTCACAAGTGTAGGAGGATGCAACGATACAGTTTAACTGACATACGGTATTAAGTTGCTTGTTTCCATGCTCTGGTAGCATTGCTACCGGAGGTTACTGCTCTTGTTGCAGCAGCAGCATTGCGATTAACAAGTGTGTGTATATACCCCTGACCATTCCTGTACTGCACGAAATGTGAGCTGCACTACCCTTGGTTCTCATTAGCTACTTGCTGCTGCTGCTGCTGCGGCGGCTGCTGCTGCTGCTGCTGCAGCGGCTGCTGCTGCTGCTCCAGCAATGCTACTGGCGCTCGCACCTGGTGCTGGCTCTGAATCCCAAGCACCGCATCCTCCTCCCCCTCCTGCCCCTCGCTCTCGCCGCTCTGCTGTGTGCGCACGTGCTGCAGCTGCTGCCAGCGCTGTGAGCACGCGTGGAGCGGCACGAAGCGCGCGATGGGCAGCAGGCGGTAGGCCAGCAGCAGGTCGTTGTCTGCATCGTGCACTGGCAGGGTGTACCTGGGGGAGGGCAGGACGTCACACAGGTGGGTTGGAGCGAGGCGAGGATGTCACTCAACACACGGCCTTTCTGCCAACGGGATGGGCTGGAGAGGCTGGATGTGGGGCTGTGAAGAGACTGGCATGGGCGAGTGCATGCGTGGACGGGGAAGCTGTCCTGAAGGAACGACCCCGTCACCTGTGGTTTGGCAGTGACATGCGATGTGAGAGATACAGTGCTAGGGGATGCAACGTCATGGGAGGCGAGGGCGCGGGTGAGGGAGCGTACTTGACAAAGGTGTGCTGCAGGCTGGCTGGTCCTCGCATGGGCGACTCATTGCACCTGCTGCAGCGTCTCGTGCCTGCACCACACGAGTGACATGAAGCGCAAAGAGAGGAGGAGCAGGAGAGGGGGAGGGATGAAGGGGCCTGTTGGAGGGGAGTGAGGGGAGCGTGAGTTTATGCGTGACAGGCCGGGCACGTGGCAGCGGGCAGTGTGAGAAGGACAAGAGGGGTGATGCGCACGCATACAGTGGGCTGGGGAGAGCACGCACCGTTGGTGCGCACTAGTGGCGGGGGGAAGGCAGGGCAGTGGTGGTCCACCAACGCCTGCTCCATGCCCGGGGGGTGCTGTCAGCCTCACATGGGCGAGGGGTGAGAGGGCGTGGGAATTGAGTAAGAAACAACCTCACAGGGGGAGGGGGAGGGCAGAGATGGGATTGGAAATGAGAAGAAAGGTGAGGAGCGGAAGACGGAGATTGGGACAACGGGGAATGGTTGTCGTGAATACAGGGCAAAGCAAGGGAATGAAGTGCAAGGGGAGAGACGTGGGTGAGTGGTAGGCGGGTGTGAGGGATTGTGATTGAGTAGGGGCGGCACCTTGAGCACGTGGTAGTAGGAGGTGAGGCGGATGGCGCGGTAGAGGATGCGAAAGAACTTGTGCTCCTGGATCTGACCCCCACACCGCACCACACCGCACACATGTGGGGGAAAGGAAGCAGTCAGCAGCGACGTGAAGGGCCGAGGTGTATGGCCTGCACAGAGATGCATGCAGAGCACACAAGGACTAACAGCAGCCAGCACGGCACACAGCACACATGAGAGACGGCAGACAGCACACGGCACGCGACATGCTGAAAGGAGGAGCATGCGGCACGGGCAGAGAGCAGGTGCACGCACCCCCGGTCGGCGTGCCATGGAGTTGTAGACGACTGGCAGCGGCACCAAGCTCACCTCCCCCCCCATGTCGCCCACTTGCTGCCTCTCACACACAGATAAGATACACACGGGTGGAGACAGGGCAGGTCAGGTATCAGGGAGGGAGCGATGGGTGGGAGTGGATGAGAAGGCAGGGAAGAGATGGAATGGACTGGTGCGGTAATGGGTGGAGGGGACGCACAGTGTGATGCAGAGAGGGGTCATGAGACGCGCAGTGCACACACACACACTCACCCATGCATGCACCGCACATTCCCACGCTAAACATGCCTGCACGCCCCTGCTCCTAGTGCACCGGCCACAGCAGGTCCCACGTGCCACCTGCTGTGCCGCATGCAGTGCACAAGCCCGCACGTGGGCCTGCCTGCCATGGGCACGTGCCCTCCCCAGCACAAGCACCAACACAAGGCACGCGGCACAGGCGGCCCCCAAGGGGTGGGCGTGCGCTCACCTGAGCCAGCTGGTGCAGCACGTTGGGCGGTGCTTTAAACGACTCCAGCCAGCAGATATCCCCAAACGCCCTCAGCCGCTCCAACTCCTCCCTCTCCGCCACTGCATCGTATGCCCCACCGCCGCCCCCCTCCCTGCCCTCCTCCCCGTCTTCCTCCGCCTCCTCTTTCCTCTCCTCTGCACCCGCCCCTCTGCCTTCCTCCTGTCCCTGTGTGCCAAACGTCTCTCCGCCACTCCTCCCCACCGGATCGCCCTCCGCGCCCGCCGCTTGCAGTCTCGCCTCTCCAGCACTCCCGCCTGCCCCTCCCGCTTCCTCTCCCCTGCTCGACCCACATGCTTGCCTGCCCTTCCCCTCGTGGTCCTCTGAAACCCCCTCGCCATCCTTCTCCTCCTGCTCCCCATCTCCGCCAAGCCTACCCTTCCCCTTTCCACTCCCGCCACCCGCGTCCCCTCCTCGCCTCATCACCGCACCGGCCACCGCGACTGCCTTCCTCTGCGATCCTCCCTCCGCGTCCCCCCGCTGCTTGCGCTTCCTGCTGCTGCCCTCGCCTGCGCGTGCCATGGGCCAGTCGGGCAGCACCACCACGCGATACGCCAGGCTCGACAGCTTGCGACTGGGGAGGAAGAGAGGAAGAGGGGAGGGTGGAGGGGAGAAGGCGGGCGGGGTGGGCGTGGAGAGGGGAGGTGAAGGTGAGGGGGCTGCGTGCGGCAGGGCGATGGGGGGCATGGGGGGAAGGAAACGGCTGTTCGAGGGAGCGAAGGGGTGAGGCAGAGCGAGGGATGGCAGCCCAGGGGGAAGGCGGGGAAGGAGGGGAAGGGTGGGGTAGGCGAGGGGAAGAGCAGCGGGAGAGGGTAGGGCAGGCGCACCTGTGGCCGCGTTGGAAGCGGGAGGTGAGGGTGACGAGGGGGAAGAGCACGTCGCCCGTCTCCTTGTCCTGCCATGCCACGCCACGCCGCAGCGCACACGCGGTCAGACACGCGGGAGGAAAGGAAACGAGAGCAAGAACGGACGGGGGACACGCACATGCATGATAGTGTGCAAAGACACCCGCGCGCAAGTGCGTATGGTGGTGCGTGGCGCGCAATGTGGGGCGCGGGGGCATGCGCGCACGGGTGCAGCGGGGCGTGCGGAGCGGGGAGCAGCGCACCTCGAGCAGCAGGTGCCTGGCGTCCCCCCCGATGCCGTCCAGCCATATGAGCCCCAGGTCGCTGATCTGCGCGCGAGCACGCGGGGCGCCATGCCATGGGGGGAAGGCGCGGGGACATGAATTGGGATGGGTTGGCGGAAGGATGATCGGCAGAGGCAATTGTCAAGCGCCACGACTCACACCCGCCTACCCCCCTCCCCTCCCGTTCCGCACCCTGTCTCGTCCCTTCCGCCACTTCCTCCGCTCACCTGCGGCGTGCGGATCTGCCAGCAGAAGGGCATGGGCTGCGCCATGGGCGCACGCACGCGCGGAGAACCTTTGCGCGCGGCCTACTGGCGGAGATGGCGGCGGAGGGAGGGCGACGCGAGAATAGTAGGGGGGAATGTATGTAGAGACTGGGGACGGGAGTGGCTGGAACGAGAGGATTAGCGCGAGGGAAGGAGCGCGGGCGAGGGGAAGGTAGCGGCGAGGAGGGCGGAATTGCGGGGGAAGGGGACGGGGCAGTGAGAGCCACAGGCGCGGATGGGGCGGCGGTAGCTGCGGAGAGGGGTAAGCGGGGTGGCGCGGGCGTAGCGCGCGCGAGAGGTTGGGGTTCCCCGTCACTAGCTGCGGCGCGGCTGTCAAGATGAACGGGGAAAGGCAGTTCTGGATTTGTGGCGCGGAATTGATCGAACTGATGTTTCAGGCTCTGCTGCTGCCGACTGGCCAATTGCATTCTTTTCCCTTGAGCCTCAACTCAACCATCGCCACAACACCCACTTTTTGCACTGCACCACCCCACCCACCCCTGCTACCCAGCACCGCAGTAACCGCGCTTCCCGAGACGCGTGCTCTGTTCCCACCCCGCCACGACTGTTGGCAGTCGTCGTTGTAGGGTCGCGGCTGCGATCAGCGGGAAGGAGGCAGTGCGCTGCGCCGCGCGCACGCCCGGCCATCGCGTGGGAATCCAGCCGTCCGGTGCGCGACCGAGCGTGCCACCCATGCACGGCGTGCCGGCGGTGGTGACGTCATCGCACGGCCACCGGCACGCCCCCTTCCTCGCCGCGGCGCGCCCCTCCCCCCGCTCGCTCGGCGCGCTGTGCCTGCTCGCTGTCGCCGCGCTCGCCATCCTCGCCGCCGCCGTACACTCGCCCCTCGCTTCCCGCCTCGCCGCACGTCGCGCGACAAGCCCGGGACGAGGTGCGTGGGTCAATGCACGTCAGTGCAGGACGAGGTTCTTTCAAACTTTGCAGTCGTCTCTCCTCTCTCGTCTCATCTCTCCCCCCTCTCTCCTCACAATTCTCCCTCTCTCATCACACTTCCTCTTTTACGCACCTCGCTTTTCACACCATCCCACCACCCGTCCTTGCTCTCACTCCCTCTCTCCCCTCACCTCGTCCCTCCTCCTCCACCAACCCCCCTCCACTTGAGGTGCCGTCTATCCCGTTCCTTCCGTGTCCTCTGATTACATCCCCTTCACCTGCCGCCCACCCATACCCCATGCTGCCCTTCCTCGTTCCCCAGGTACCACCTCCACTGCCGCGGTGCACAGCGTCGGCCCATCCGCCGTTAGATCAGCCGATCATTCAGCGCCAGCAGCATCACAGCCGTCCATCCTGCCTTTGCCCCTGGGTTCTCACGATGCGCGTGGAAGACAGGTTGGCAACCTCGCCACCACTGCCCCCACCGGTGATGCAGATGCAGGCGGTGCAGCAGGCACTGTGGTGGTGGCTGCTGCCGCTGCTGCCACCACGGACGGCCACCCAGCGCCACTGACCACTGCTGGTGCAGCTGCCGACACGTCAGCAGTGACTGAGTCATCAACGGCTGCATTAGAAACAGCAGAAGGTGCAGCAGCACAACAAACTTGATGCTTTCACACTTACTAGTCACCCACCCAGCTCTGTTCCATCCCACCAACTTCCCCTTCCCACCCCTCCCACTCATGTCCTCCGTCTTCCCCCTCACCTTTCTGTGCTCACCTTCCCCCCCTCTCCCCCCCTGCCACACTGGTCAGCGTATGTGGCGGGCGTGCCAGAGCAGTGCGACATGCAGCGCAGCACGGACTATGACGGGGAGGCGCTCACATGGGGCCTGGACTTCCTCACCGCCTCTGCTGCCGACTGCTGTGCGCGCTGCCGTGCCATGGCTGCCACTGCTGATGCCGCCGCACAGCAGGGCGGGGCGGGCGCGCAGCAGCGGTGCAACATCTGGGTGTTTTGCCCTGAGCCCGGGGGGTGCTGGTCGCCTGACATATGGGACCACAAGCACAAGGAGTGCTGGCTCAAATATGTGAGCCTCATGTGTGCGGAGTGGGTGGGTGCTGGATTAAGCATGTGGTAGGTGAGTGTGGTTGGTGTGTCTGACGAGAAGGTTAGATGTGCTGTGTGCATGCTAGACCCCCAGTTCTTGTAGTTATCTCGGTGTGTGTATGCTGATCGTGTTCTAGTTGTGTCTCAGAGCCTGCTTCCCCTTGCGCATACACCTGTTTGGCCTGTCACAGGGAGACCCCCCCAAATTGAACTTCCAGGGTCGTTACGCTGAAGAGTTTCGGGCCATGCATCCCACCGCACCCGAGGCTGTTCAATGGGTGGCTGGCGTCATTTAAGCCTCCTCGATCTACCGTCGCGTGCCGGCACAGCAACCTCTTTCAGAACCATCCCGTGGTAGACTGGCCGAGAATGCTTTCATACTCAGAATCTTTACGCTCTGAAGGAACTGCAATGCTGCCTGCTGCCAGTGATGCTTCCATCAAATGTGGAAAATTGAAATCAAGAGTCCTCTTCAAGCAACGGTTTGCCTCATACCTAGGACGACAGCGAGATGGAATGGTCGTAGTTTTCCAAGTAATTAGATATTACTGAAAGTACGTATACCAGTACTTTAGATTGTTCTCACCATAAGTGTGATGCATGACAAGCCGAGCGTACAACGGGGTCTTCTGCCCTCCAGAAAGTCAGCAGGCAGTTGGCGCGAAGCGCAGAGCTCAGGAGTCTGTTCCCGCCGCTGGGATTACTGCGCGGACCAATCGCGGCACGACCAGAATTCCTGAGCTGCATTTTGAATTTCCTCTCAGCGAAATTGCAGAATCCCAGTTCCCAAGGGAACGAGTCAGGCAAATGAGTTTCGCACAACGCAACACTGTTATCTTGCCATAGTCGACCCTTCGAGCTCCCTCGAACTTGGGTGAATGTCGGATATTCCAAAGCTAGTCTACTCTGCTTGGTGTTGTCAAGGTCCAAACTCCATAGATGCAATTGTTTGGAACGCATTCTGAGCTTTTCTTGCCGGCCAAGCCAAGCACGGCTTCATCAGGTTCCGAGCCTTGAAAGCAGCTTTAGTCACCGCCGTAGTCGATAGCCTTACTCCCAGCGTTCATCTGCCAAGTCTTGGATTCACACAACCGCTGTGACAGCAACCTGTCGTGCTTCGATCGGGAAGTAAAGAGAGTTAGTTATCCGTTCGACTTCTCTGATAACCTGTCTCACCCCCAACGTTTCGCATTTTTAAATTCCCCAAAGTAGAAATACGTCGTATCTAGTAAATTTCTGTCGTATCAGTGTGCTGCGTTTCCATCCCGGCGTGTGGCTCCTGCGGTTCCAATCACGCGATGGCTCGTCAAGGAGAGGCGGGAAATGGTGTCACGCGGAGTGTCCATCCATCCGGCCGTCACGACACCGCTCAGCGTGTCCCCAGCGGTCGCTTTACGCGTTCGGCTTCATCACAGCACGTGCCTGCGGGTACACAGTCACCGGCGTTCGCCTTAGGACCTCCGCTCGCCAGCACGCTTAACGTGGACTGCCTTCCCGATGTTCTCAAGGCCTCGCAAAGCACTGGTCGCGCCCTCAACGGTCACGTATGTGCACCTGTAAATCACCTCCCACCTCATGGTTTAGTGTAAGCTTCAATTCTAGAGTCTTGACGTTTTTCATCCTATAATATATTCACGAGACGTTTTCCTGGACTTCTTTTTGCGTGCTTCTGCCAATCTGCAGGGTGTAATTGACTCTGAGAACGGTCCAGGTCTTCTGGCTGCTCAGGGGAGGCACAAGGGCAAGAAGAAAGCCGCAACGACGCGCGCGAGAGCCCTTCGACCGCGCACGCCGTCGAACGACGATAACGTCCAGAAAGCGCAGGCCGGTGCGGGTGAGAAGCCGGAGACGCACGATGGTGTAACGGAAGTCTGTGGCGAGGTCGCTGCGGGGTTTGAAGGCACGCCGAAGATCGGACGCATCGTTCTTCCCGCACCCGCTGAGTCGCCAGACGACGTGTGGCGTCTGTCGGCCACAAGTAACGACGAGGTCAAAGATCTGGGGAAGCAAGGCCGTGCTGCCGATGATGCTGCGACCGCCGTTGCTGCTGAGGGCCTTGCTGCTTCTGCCGCTGCTGCGGCTGGTGCTTCTGCCGGAGTGGGGGTGCGTCAGGGAAACGGTTTAAAGCAATACCTTGAGGTGGATGAACCAGGAGGTTATGAAGCGCGGACTGATGCCATGATCCATGCGGGAACGCCACTGAAGACGGATTCTGGCCGCCTTGAAGCTGTCAGCGAAGGGACGGCGATGCAAGAGGAGTCAGCGGAACAGGAGCACCAGGAGGGGCATGGGATGACGAAGAGGCGGAGGAAAAAGTCCTATTGGAGCCGCAAGAAGAGGGCACGCGGAGAGCGGAATGGAGTGGTATCGTCTCAAACGTCTGAAGAGAGCGAGGGCGGCTCTGCGATGGTAGGTGTGGCGCGGAATGTGCGGGAGAAGCGCGATGGCGTTGCGGAGGTTGCGCAGTTCGATGACACCACGGCGGTGGGAGATGCCGATGGAGCGGTGGGAGATGCCGATGGAGCGGAGGGAATGCAGGGGAACGAAGAGCTGGCGGAGCGAAAGCGAGGAGAAGCGTTTGGAAGTAGCGCCTGGAAAGACGTCCGCCAGGATGCAGTGGCTGCGCGTGTCGAGGGGTCGCAGGGTGAGACGGGCGTTGAACGCAAGGATGATGGCGAAGGCGGCTTGCAGAAAGACGACGCTGCCGTGCTGGCGGATGCGGGTGAGCGGGCGCCAGGGTCGCGCAAGAAACGCAGAAAATTGGGTTACCGGCCGTTCCTTGCTGTGAAGGGTGATGCGGGGAACGATGGCGAGGTAAAAGAGGGGGAACAGGTTATGGAAGTGCAGGGAGAGGGGGAGAGAGGTAAGGGGATAGTTGAGGGGGGTGGAGAACAAGGACTGGGGAACGTGGATGTTGGAGCAGTGGATGCAGGTGCGGCAGGTGAGAGTCGAGGGCATGGACAAGGCACGGAGCGTGAGGAGGCACGCGAGGGGACGGACGCGGAGGATACGAATGTGCAGGAATTGTGGGCCAGCATGGCTGGACGCGCGACAAGCGAGGCCTTGCCTGAGACTGCAGGACAAGTGCCGCTCAGTGACGGAAGTGCAGGCGAAGCTACTAGCTTCGGGGGATCAGCTCCTGAAGTGCAGGATAGTGACGGGTCAGGGTCGTGGGGGCGACGTGAAACCAGGAGGCGGGCAACGCGGAAGGCGCGGGCACGCAGGGAGCGGGAGGGGATGGAGGGCGCGGGGCAGAGCGGAGAGAAGAGGAGGAGCCCGAGGCTGAGGTTGTCTGACGTCGTGCCTCCACCGCTGCCTTCGATTCCAGAGGAGGGAAGCGGAGAGAGGGATGAGTCTGCAGGGAGCGAACGCACACAAGGCAACGCAGGCGGGGCAGCAGGGAGAGAAGAGGATCGGACCGACACTGCAGCAACAGAAACAATCGTCTTATCTCCTGATATGGGTGGTGGCTACGGCAGGTACAATGGTGAGCATGAAGAGGAGATAGGGGATGCGGGAGAGGGAGAGGGGCAGGGGGATGCAGTGGTAGGCGACACAGGGCTTCAAGCGGACAGCCTTGCTGAAGCTCTCGCTGAAGGCGCGCTAGGTGAAGGTGGGGCAGGGGACTCACGCGATGGTGCTGGATCTCGAGTCGTTGGTGGGAAGAAGGGCAGGAAGAAGGGGAAGAAGGGCAAGAAGAAGGTCAAAGGGAAAAGGCCTTCCCCTGCTGTGGCTGCTGCTGTCACCGATGCCGGTGCTGGCGGTGTTGCTGGCGATGCAGATGAAGCACGTGGCGAGGGCGCAGAGAGGGATGGCGTAGAGGTGGTGGAGGAGGAGGATGACGACGTGCAGGAGGTGAAGGGGTTTGCCATGGCGGAGGAGGAGGTCTTAGAGGGGGAAGACGATGCAGCAGAAGCAGCCGGAGTACCAGCATCAGGAGCAGCAGGAGTAGCAGCAGGAGCAGCAGCAACAGGAGTAGAAGCAGCGGAAGAAGCAGCAGAGGAAGCAGCACCAGCAGGAGCAGCAGCAGCAGGGGTCGCAGCAGCAGGAGCAGCAACAGGAGCAGCAGCAGCGGCGGCGGCAGCGGCAGATGCAGTAGCATCAGCCGCGGAAGCAAGGGCGAGCCTGAGTGGGTGGGGAGCAGAGGATACAGGATGTGAGGCGTGTGAATTATTCAAGCAGGTCGTCCAAGTGGTGAGTTCCTTGCGCACTTGGCGGCCCTATTCCCTGCTCACCAGCACCTTGCGGCTCTTTCATTGTGCGGCTCTTCGACTCCCTCACTTTCCGCGGTGCATGGCACGAGGCCGCTCACCGTTTGTCATTCGTGGCTGTGCTGTGTGTGTGCGTGCAGTTGGAGCAGCAGAACAGGGAGCTGGAGGAGAGGAACGAACAGCTGGAGGTAGGTCCCATGCTCGCTCGCACCACTGCTCTTCCATGCATGCCCCATGCCACCACTCCTTGCTTCGACCCTTGTTCTTCCATGCGTAAACAATGCCCCTGCAACGCTCCTAGCTTGCTACCATCTGCTGTTATCATTGCTGCTGCTGCTGCGGTCACTAGATGTGCTGTCGTGTCAGGTGCACCGCAGTCGTTCCACGCCATTCTGCTGCCCCAGAGCGCCGTGTGGCTCATGCCATGTCTCTATTCCCCATTCCGTGCCGTTACCCCTATGTTGCGGTGCACGGCACAGAACGACCAGATGGAGGAGATAGACAGCGCCATTCAGGACGTGCACGCGCGCTCTCTGCGCCACGCCCGATGTGAGCCCTCGCATGCCTTGCTGCCGCGCCCTGTGGCCTGCTCACATGTGCCGTGTACTGTATGCTATTGGCCATGGGCCATGTGCATTGGGCAATGTGCCATGCACACGCATCGGGTATCAAGGAGTTCGGCTCTGATCCCAGGCACCGCCCTCATCCCCCTACCTATCTTTTTCCCGCTCCTCTCTCTCTAAATCTCTTGCATCCTCAGACCACTAGTTTCGAAACTCTTGTCTCCATCCGCGCCCTCACCCACCACCCGCGCTCCCCCTCTCTTCCTTCTCCTCTTCCCTCCCTCCTTCTCCCCACTCGCTCGGCTGTGCGGCTCCTTCTCCCCCGTTCAGCGTGTAAGGCGCTGTTGGCGGAGGCGCAGAGGGAGAACGCGGAGATGAGGCGCGATTACATAGAGCGCCTGGACCTGGACGACATGCACCGCACCATGCAGTCAGTGCCCGCTGCGCCCGCTGCTCACTCACCGCCCCCTCGCTCACTCACCTCTCTTGTCGCTCAATGCATGCTGCATGTCTCCCAAGGCAGCAGCCACCCGTCGGTTTAGCTCCTCTCTTTCCCTATTTCTTTCCCTTCCTGTGGCTTCCGCTCCGCTGCCACTGACTCCCCTCTCCCACGCCCCTCCCCGTTCCATCCCTCCCCAGGAGGCTGTTGGCGGATCTGAATCGCAGCAACGCCGCCATGCACCACTACCGCAGCATCTCTCTGCAGTACTGCGCGCTCTGTGAGTGATGGGGCGTGTGGCAGTGGCTGCGCGTGTATGATTGGGCAGGTGGGCAATGCAGTGATTGAGGCGATTGGAACAAGGGAGAGGAAAATGGCCTACTGTTTGTTTGGGTGCTGTCTTGTGCCTGTGTATATGCGCATGCACGCATTCTCTCTGGCCGTGTGTCTATCACATGTGCAATCCATGCCTCCATCCATCCATCCTCCGTCCTTCCGCCCATCCGTCCACCCACCCACTCAACCCACCCGTCCACTCATTGACCTTTCGATGATTGCAGATGGAGAGTTACCGGGGAGCGATGGAGATAGTGATGAGGAGGAGGCGGATGGGGAGGAAGAGGAGGAGGAGGAGGAGGAGGAGGAGGAGGAGGAGGAGGAGGATGGGGAGGAGGAGGAGGATGGAGAGGGGAAGGAGAAGGAAGGGGACAAGGAGGAAGGGCGTAAGGAGGAGATGCGTGAAGAGGGAAGTAAGAAGCGTGGTAGGAGCAGCAGGAAAGAGGGAGCAGATGAGGAACGACAGCCGCAAGGTTCAGAGGAGAATAAGGAGAGCGAGGAGGAAAATGAGGCAGACGCAGAGGGAGAGCGAGGGGCAGATGAGGAGGAAGCAGAAGGCGGAGGAGGCATGGCGAGTGCATGGAGGGGTTTGTGTGAGACGGCCCCTGGGCTTGCTGCAGCGCTGGAGTGGGTGCATGATGCTGGGAGTGAGCTGAGCCTGGCGATGCAGTGGGATGAGGGCTACGAGATGCACAGCTGGGTGCTCTGCCACAAGCCCTCAGGTGCGCTCTCCCTGCTTCTGCAGCACTTTCTCTAGTGCAACCACAGTACAAGTGGTGTCACGGTGACTCAAAATGTGTTAATCACTGTGCAGTCTTGGCGTCTGCGACCACCCCTATCCTTTGCCTGTAGCCAATCTTGTCCCCTATGTGCCTGCCCCCTGCCATGCATGCAGGGTTTGAGATGGTGTTTGGGCCAGCCCCTGATGCAGTCAACGAAGTGGGCCTGCCTCCCGCCTCTCCCTCCCCCATTGACCAGCGGCAGCCCCCCCCTCCTGCCACTGCTGCTGCTGGCAGTGGTGGTGGTGATGGGGACAGCGAGGGCAGGTACGGTGAAGGAGCGGAGGAGCGGAAGGGGTTTGTGATGCGTGTGATGACCCTGGGGCGGGTGGAGGAGAGCAGGGCACCCAGGTGGATGAGGGCGGCGGTGTCAGAGGATGAGGACGAGTACTGCATGTGCTGTGAGAGCAAGCTCATCCGCGACCTCACGGCCCTGCGCAAGATTCTGCTTCACTGATGCTTATGCGTCTGCTCATACACTGCTCTTGATACAGTTGTGCTGAGAAGAGTTGCTTTCAAGCACGAGTTGATGAAGAGATGCGCAGCGAGACGGTTTGACAGCAAACGACACAGAGCTGTTCACATGACCCCTGGCACAGTTTCCACTACATACATCCACTGGACATCTTAGGCGATCGTATTGAGTGTGTGGCAGGGTGTTTTAAGTTTTGCCAAGTGATGTACCATCAGTTATAAAAACAGACTTGCACAAAACTTTCAAAACGGTAACAAAAACCCTGCACAAGCAGGCACAGCACACGTTTACAACATGCACTTTCCCAACCTTTAATATTTTCCCCGTCCTATCAGTGGTTCTCCCTCACAGCCCCAGCAGCTCCCCATCCAGTGCGGCTGTCTTGGCCCATGACTCGAGCGCGGACGCTGCCGCAAGGAAGGCCTTCTTGGCACCCTTCACATCCGACCCTCCAGCTGGTGGGGGACGCACAAGGGCATTCACGTGCACACGTGACGGGGCGTTAATCGAATGTGGCCGGCAGTGTTGAGTGGGGTAGGAAGAAAGATCAAGACCGAAAGAGCAGATTGAAGGGTCATGCAATGTGGAAAAGTGAACGTGGAAAGATTCAAGGAGAAAGAGGGAGAGAGAGAGGGGGAGGGAGAGAGGGGAAGGGAGGAGGGAGGGAGAGAGAGGGAGGGAGAGAGAGGGAGGGAGAACGACGGAGGGAGAGAGAGGGAGGAAGAGAGAGAGAGGGAGAAGTGGCGTACCAGCGGTCTGCAGGGCGGCGATGGCGGATTGGAAGTCCGCCGCTAGGGACTTCTCGGCGTCAGAGCGGCTGATCTGCAGGGGTCGCAGCAGACGACCCAGGGGGGGGGGGGGGGGAAGGGAGGGGCGGGGGGGGGAGGAGAGGGGCAGGGGGTGGAACTTAAGTGGGATAGGGGAAAACCTGACAGGCGGCGTGACAGTGGAAGAGAGGGAAGAAGGCATGTATTGTGACATTAGCGAGCAGTGAGGAAGGATAGCACCATTTTGATTGAGCGGGCTCAAGAGCCATGCACACTGGCTTTTCATTCGCACGAAGTAGGTTACTAGTGAAGCACTGAGTGGTGGTGGAAAAACGATGGCACGTAGAAAGCGTGCAATGCGAACTCTTCGGAGCAGGAATTGCACTAAAATGGCTCCTTCGAAACAGGTTTTGGGGTCGTTCCAACTTTCAGAGCGCGCTTTCATTACTAAGCTAGGCACCAGAAATCGTCGAGCGAGCTTACCTTAGCGATGGCGGCGTCCGCCTTGGCCACCCATCCCGCCGACAGCTCCGCCGCCGCCGCGCTGCTGTTACCCGCCTCCAGCGCCGCGCCCACCTTGCTTAGCCCGTACACCGCCGCCTGGATGTCGGCTGGGGAGGGGGGACGGGGGAGGCGAGCGGGGGTTGGGAGCACGGCGCGCGAGACACGGGGAAAGAAGAGAATGTGAGTCCACGACAGATGTGATGAAGGCCGAGGCAAGCACTGGCTGGATTGAGGGCATCAGAGCGGGAACCGAGGAACACGCGAAGAGGCTGTTTATGCTGTCCCACAACCGATGGACTGACGAACAGTAACGCTGGACGCCTTGGTGGAACACCACCTTTTCGGGACTGCACCTAGCCTCTGGAGCGCGGCACAGACGGCATAAGAGCGCTGGGCAACGGCGGAAGCGAGCTGTGAACATGAATCCGTCACCTGCGCTCGTGTGTTCTACAGTGCCCAACGCACCTTCCTCGGCCTTGTACGTGCCGCGGCTCTCGCGCAGCTCGATCTTCTCCTTCCGCTCGCGCTTCATCCTCTCGAGCAGGTCCGTGTCTTCGTCCGCATCTAGCAACGCGTGCGCCGGCGACGCCGCCATGACCGGCGCAATCAGAAGCGCCACAGCCGCCATCGAGAACCCGCGCCGAGACACGTCAGCCGTCTCCGGCGCGCGCTGCTCGCAGCGCACTGCAAGGGATGCGCATCTAGGCGCGGCGACGGATACTGTAGCCGTAGATTGTGAAATCGATGCGGTGGATGCGAGCGAAGAGGCCGCTGAGAGGGATGACACGGCGAAAGTGGCGCCGAGGGAGGAGGTCGCTGCAGCCATGGTGACGTTGCGCGTCGAGAGTGGGTACGGTGATGTGTGAGAGTCGTGGAGAGGTGACGAATGTGTGGGGAGATTGATGGTAGAAATCGAAGTGCGAAGAAAAAATACAAGTCTGACCAGGAAAGGAAAATGTGGTGTTAGAATTGTTTGAATGATCTACTCACGGGGAATGTACACTGCGATTTGTGATAATACGAGATGGACGAACCTCCCGCCTTGATATTGCCGAAATGCAACTAGAGCAGGAAGCTGCACAAGAAATCGTCGGGTTTCGTAGCGCCACGTAAGACTTGCTGTTGGGAACGCGAGGCTATTTGGCCTTCGACGTGGCTCGAGTTCATTCACGCAGGATGGATCTCAGCGCCACGGGAGACGCGATGCTCCATAACCGGATCAAGCTGGCCACCAGTAGCCTTGATGACGTTGACAAAGATTTTGCTGCTTGACGTACAGGCTTCCAGCGAAAGACACCAGCCACGTCAGATGTATTCGCCATCAGATCACTCGATACGAAATTGGGGCGTAGCAGTAACACATTAAAGAACGACCAATCGACATGCAAAGAATACTTTACAGATGCAGCCAGAAATGTAAACCGCCTGGAAGCCAAGCCAAATGAGAAGGTTGGCCTGCGATGTTGTTGTACCCTCCGCCTCCACACCACAACTATTTCGCGTCAGTCGGCAATCCGTTTGGGTTGTCCTCCCCCCCCCCGTGCCGTCCTGTCATGGCCTGCTCCGAGTCGCACTCGCTCATCCGCGCCATCGAGGCTGCCTGCGCTGTGTCCCCTGCCGGCGCGGACCTCCTGGTGACGGCGTTCGTGATCTCGCTGCAGTCATACCGCCGCCCGTCAGGTGCGCGCATGCCGTGAGGAAAAGAGAGAGGGACGCAGGGAGGCGTGAGGCAGCGAGGGGAAAGGCGGAGAAAAGCAGGGTGGGCGAGGGAGCAGCGGAAAGGGGAAGTGGTGGGTGCAGTGAGCGTGGGCATGGTCTTGAAACGGGAGCTTCGATGGAAGATATTCTGGCCATGACAAGATGCTCCGTCTGCATGCAATCGCCGCTCATCCCCTCCCTCACCGTCACTGCCCCCCGCCCACCCATCGTCTCCTCCCGCCTTCATCCCGCCCCCCAGTGTGTCGGCCCTTCCCCTCGTCGCTCTTCACGTTGCCCGGGCCGCTCCCCGACAAGGACTTCCCCGCCGCGCTGCGCTGCTGCGCGCAGCTGCCGCCCATCGCCGCCATCGCCAACGCTCCCCGCGTCCCACCATGGCACGGCGGCATACCCGTGCCTGCCCTCCGCCTGCTGGCATGGGTCCTCTCGCCTCTCATACCCTCCCCGCCCTCACTCGCCGCCACCCAAGGCGCACTCGCGCCCACTCTCCACCATGCCGTCCCCCAGGACAAGCAGCAGCAGCAGGATGGGCGTGCCGTGCAGCAGGGGCGGCTGCATGTGGTGCGGGTGGGGGATGTGCAGGGCACGTTGGCCAAGGTGCTGACGTCATGGCAGATGGGCATGCTGAAATCATCGCCAGCTGCAGCTGGGGGGCGCAATGTGTTGCCACAGTGCTTGCTAATGGTGGGGTGTGCTGGAGGTGGGGATTGCTGGAGGTGGGGCTTGGTGGAGGTGGGGCTTGGTGGAGGTGGGGCTTGGTGGAGGTGGGGCTTGGTGGAGGTGGGGCTTGGTGGAGGTGGGGCTTGGTGGAGGTGGGGCTTGCTGGAGGTGGGGCTTGCTGGAGGTGGGGCTTGCTGGAGGTGGGGCTTGCTGGAGGTGGGGCTTGCTGGAGGTGGGGCTTGCTGGAGGTGGGGCTTGGTGGAGGTGGGGCTTGCTGGAGGTGGGGCTTGCTGGAGGTGGGGCTTGCTGGAGGTGGGGCTTGCTGGAGGTGGGGCTTGCTGGAGGTGGGGCTTGCTGGAGGTTGTTACTTTTCCGTTTGTGCCTTACATCTCCCTTGGTTCATCCCACACTGTGTGCCCCTGCACGTCTCTCAGCTTCGTGCATGCTCCATTCCCTTGCACCCATGCTCCCACTCCGTGCGTCTGCCCGTGCCTTGCCCTGCCGCGCTTGTTTGCCCCATGTCGCCCAGCTCGTCACATCCTCGCCACCCACTGCCACTGCACATGGCCCGGTAGGAGCCACGGGTGCTGGAGGCATGGCAGGCAGTGGCAGCGGCAGCAGGGATGGGTTTGAGGCGATGGCAAGGGCGCATGGCAGCGTGATGGCGTTCCATGGCACGCCATCGGAGAACATGCACGGCATCCTGCGCTGCGGTACCTTCCCCTCCCCACACACAACTCCCCTGCCATCCCTCCCTCCACCACCACCACCTGTCACTCGCATTGGCACATAAGCGCCCCACCTCCTCTTGTCCCATGCCCCTCACGTGCCCACTTCGCCTCTCTATTCTCAATGCCTTCCCGAGATGCCTCTGCCCCCGCCCCTGGCCTGTTCGAATATTCCCTTTGCGTTGACGACCGTACCTTGCACCCCTCCCCTCGCCTCCCTCCAGGTCTGTTGAACCTGTCGCGCACGGCACTGCAGCGCAACGGCAGCATGCACGGGGAGGGCATCTACCTCTCCACCGACCCCACCGTCGCCTTCACCTTCTCACAGACCGCCGACGCCACTCACGCACTTCCCTCCCTTGCCCCGCCTTCCCTTCCCCCCTCATCAAGCACCGGCCCGCTCTCCCCTGGCCCTGATGGGTGGCAGTGCTCTGAGCTGGGTGCGGCGCCGCGCTTCGTGCTGCTGTGTGAAGTCATCACAGGCCATGGCGTCAGATGCTCCACCCCCTCACCCGCTGCTCCTGCCTGTGGGAAGCTGGAGTCACAGCAAGGCGCACAGCAGCAGGCTCAAGGGGAGCAGCAGCAGCAGCAGCAGCAGCAGCAGCAGCTGGGCACATACGTGGTGGTGGAGAACCCTTGCATGCTGCGCATCCGCTACATCATGGTCTACACCACTGCCCCTGCTGCCACCCCTCCACTGCACCCCACACCGCCCTTAGCGGCAGGATCACCTGTGCAGCACACTGTTCCAGCATCATCATCATCATCATCAGCAGCAGCAGCAGCGTTGCCATCACCGGGTGCCTCTCCTCCTGGCTCCTCGTCAGTTCCATCAGCCTATGCAGGTTCACCAACCTCAGTGCTAGATACTGCGTCTGTCTCCTCCACTCCTCTGCCGTCCTCCCTCCCCTGCACCCAGCAATGCCTGTTAGAGCAACCCTGCCTTGCCGCGCACCTGTCTTCCTTGCCAGCTGCCACTGTGGTGTCTGGTGGAGCAGCATGTGTGCAGGTCTCAGGCGCGCAAGGCAGGGCGGCATGTGGAGGGCGGCACTGTGGGGTGTATGGGAGCGCGGAGTGCAGTGGCAGGGAGCTAGGCACGCGTGCAAGTGAAAGCCAGTCAGCAGCGGAGTGCTCTGGAATGACAAGGGATGCAGGCACGGCAAGAGGGGGTGCAGCAGGACCAGCTGGAGTGCGGCAAGACGTCCGGGCGTTGACTGAGGCGTGCGAGGGAGGCGAGGGAGTGGGGAGAGGGGTTGCTGATGGGATGGGCAGCAGAGACGCAAGGCAAGCCAATGGTGGCTTGAGTCAAGGGGGGCAGGGTAGGGGTGCAGTTGCATCTGAGAGAGAGGTGCGCAGGCGAGGGCATGGAGGGCGGCGTGACGCGTGTGTGAACCTGATGGCAGTGTATGCTGTGCTGCTGCTGGCAGTCGGGCTGTTCAATTCGCGAGTGTTTTGGGTCCGTATCTGGCCTGTGCTTGAAGGGATTCTGGGCCAACAAGAAGAATTCTGACATGGCTTGTGGCGTACAAGTGATCTACGTACCACAGTACGAATGTGGGGCACGAGCTCGTTGGTTGGTGTATAGATGGTGGCACCGATCAAGATTCGTATCAGAGTTTACACCAAAGTGTGAGCTTTGAAGTGTGCAATTGCTCCTTTTCTTCACTTACATTGTATTATGCGATTATAAGTTTCATGTACTCTGCTGACACAACACGGGTTTATCCGAAAGGTAAGCCCGAGATGCACACAGCAAGGTTGGCGGGAAACACAGGAACAAAAACCGAGGGTTGGAGTGGTTGGGATGGTGCCTCATGCTTGTACTCTCCATTCGATCTTGGTAATTGTGTGTAGGCAGGTATGACATTGCGAGCGGCATCGGAATCTGCTGGTAGTTGCACCGTATTCTGCGCCGCCTGCGCAGGTGGAATGATCGCACGCACGACGCACGCGTAAATCCGGCACCTTGCGCGATTGCTGTGGTGGGAAGTGTGATTTGAATGGGACATGGACTCCACCAAGGGTAGAAAGGAACTGCTTTCCGCCGGCAAGAAACGGGTGGGTGCGCCGGTCCTTGCACCTCATTCCCGCATTGACGCCTTTCCGCCATACCCCCATTCCCGTCAGTTCGACATCACGCGTTGAACATCTTGTGTTCACTCCCATTGCTGCTCGCGTCGTCCACTCCGTCGCACCGCTCCGCACATTCCATTCGAGCACAAGGCAGATCAGCGAGTGCCGTCGTGCATCCCTCGCGTGTCGTGTAAACTCATCTGCCAATCATGCCTCCGATTTTTCCTATGCCCCTCGCATTGCTGTCCTGCCTGCGCACGGCCTCTGTGTTCCCTCGACCTCTGGCAGTTGGAAGAATTCCGCAAGAAGCAGCAGCAGAAGCAGCAGCAACAGCAGCACGATCCGGCGGCTAAACCCGACGCAGTGGTCGACGTGTCCAAGGCGAGCGACGGGGGGCCCCTCGATCCGTCGGATCCTGATTCCGCCGCCAATGCTGGCGCCTCTTCCGCATCCGCATCGCCAGCCATGGACGTCCCGCCATCTCTCGCGCCCGTGTCCGTCGATTTTGCGCCATCTGACGGCGAGGACGCGGCGGGCGACGGCGACTTCCAGACGCCCACCGGGTCGCCGTCCAGCGTGCGCAGCGGCGGCAGCAGCGGCCAGCGCACGGCGGCGCTGGTGGCGCGCAGCCGCGCGTTCGTGAGCATGGCGCAGGGCTTCATCGCGCAGGTGCGCGCATAGGGGGTAGTGGGGGGAACATGGTGGCGCGGGGGCCGGGGCCAGGGTGGTTGAGGGAATGGGGGAGTGGATGGCGGAGGGGGAATGGGGTGGGGCTGGTGCGTGGGATATGTGCTTGCTTCATGTCGTGCCCCTCTGCAACCCACTCACCCACTCCCCTCCCCATCCCCCCGCCCCGTTCCCCCTCCTCTCCTTCCCCTCCTGCCCCCCTTCTCAAGCCTCGTCCTGACAGCAATTCACCCCCTTACTGTCCCGTCTTTAACCACCATTCCTGGGAGGTTTGCCGTGTGCGCGTGTGTGCTGTGTGTGCCGTGCGTGTGTGTGTGCGTGCATGTTGCCTCCCCAGGCGGCGTTGGACAAGCCACAGAGGGACGCGCTAGAGGCAAAGCTGCAGGAGCTCAGACACCACGCCGCCGAGCACCACGTGCCGCCCGCCAACGACGACGCCTCCCAGTCGCTCTTCCCAGACGCTGACGTGGCAAGCATGCAGGCGCGGCTGCAGGAGGCAGAGGCGGACGCGCAGCGGAGCAAGGCGGAGGCGGAGGCGGCGAAGGCAGCGGTGGGGGAGGCGCGCGCGGAGCAGAGCAAGGCGGAGGAGCGGGTGGGGGTGCTGCGGGAGAAGCTGCAGATGGCGATCAAGCGCGGCAAGGAGGCGGTGCAGCAGCGCGACTCGCTGCGCGAGGCCGTGGCGGGCAAGGAGCAGGCGCTGCAGGCGGCGGGCGGCGAGCTGGCGGCGGAGAAGGCGGCGCACGCGGAGACGCGCGAGCGGCTGGCGCGGATGGAGGAGGAGCTGGCGGTGCGCATGGTGCGCGTGCAGCAGGAGATGATGGGCGAGATCGACGCCGCGGAGCGCAGGCGCGTGGCGGAGCAGGCGACGCTGCGCGAGGAGCTGAGCGGCGCAGAGAGGCGCGCGAAGGAGGCGGAGCAGAAGGCGCGCGAGGTGGGGAAGAAGCTGGCGGCGTCGGAGATCAAGGGGCTGTCGCTGGAAGGCGACGCCAGTAAGGCCAAGGCGCGCGCCGACGCTGCTGTGCGCAGAGAGAAGGAGGCGGAGGGCAAGCTGGCTGCTGCCTTAGGTGCGTGCTCCGCTGCCCGCCACGTGTGGCGCTACATCCCCTTGCTTCCTCACCACAGGCTCTCACTCTCCCCTCTCGTTCTCCCTTGTTCCACTCCCTCATGCACTCGTCCTCGTGCTACTCTCTCTGCCTTCCGCGCTCCCTTCTGATGCGTGTGCGCTCGTACTTCCATGTGTGCCCGTGCATGTGTGTGTGCGCAGAGGAGCGCCGGGAGTTGGAGGCGCGGTTGGCAGCAGCGGAGGCGGCAGTGCGGCAGACAGCGCAGCAGGGCGAGGAGGTGCGCGAGCGCCTGGCGTCTCTGCAGGCGCACATGCGCCCGCACCTCACTGCGCTCTCCGCCAACCTCGCTTCCGCCCTCGCCGCTGCCACGGCGGCTGCTGGCGGCAGCAAGGACGCAGGCAGCAACGGCGCGCAGGGCGAGGAGGAGGGCGAGGGCGCGGTGGGGACGTGGGGCGGCATGGAGGCGTGGGTGGACGACCGCATGGAGGGGCTGCTGGAGACAGCAGAGCGGGTGGCCGCGCAGGTGGCGCGGGGCGTGGGCGCGCGCGAGCAGGAGGTGCAGGAGCTGCGCGCGGAGGTGAGTCGCGCGGAGAAGGAGAAAGGCGAGGCGCGTGAGCGGCTGAGCAAGGCCATGACGATGGGGAAGAAGATGGAGAAGCAGAGAGATGAGCTCAAAGCTAAGCTCAAAGACGCTCAGACGCAGCTCCTGCACCTGAGCGAGGAGCACGCAGGCACGGAGGGCGAGGGGGAGGCGGCGCAGCAGGTGAGGCGCGCGGAAGAGCAGGTGGTGGCGCTGACGGCAGCCGTGGCGAAGGCGCAGGGGGAGGCGCAGCAGGCGAAGGGAGAGGAGGAGCGCGCGAGGGAGGAGCTGGAACGCGTTCAGGCGGCGATGGCGGAGGTGCAGGGTGAGGCGGAGAGGGTGAGGCGCGAGTTGGAGGAGGCTGTGAGGCGCGCGGAGGAGCAGAGCGCGGAGTGGCAGGGCAAGGCGCAGGCAGGGCAGGCGCAGGCGGATGCGGTGGCGAAGGAGGTGGAGGGGGTGCGGGAGGAGATGGGGAGGGCGGCGGAGCAGTGGAGTGAGCGAGTGCGAGCGCTGGAGAGCGAGGTGGGCGAGCTGCAGACGAAGGTGCATGCTGCACGCGGGGAGGTGGAGGAGGCGAGGCAGGCAGCGGAGGAGCATGCTAGGGCTGTGCAGGCGAAAGCGGAGGAGCATGCTAGGGCTGTGCAGGCGAAAGCGGAGGAGATGGCTACGGCTGAGAGAGAGGTGGAGCAGCTGCGAGAACAGGTGCAGGCGGGGCGAGGCGAGGCAGAGAGGCTGAGAGTGGAGGAGGCTGCTATGACGGAGAGAGCGGTTGCTGCAGAGGCCCGCGCAGAGGCTCTGGCGGAGGAGGGTGCGGCTGCCAAGGCAAGGGCTGACGCCCTGGAGGTAGACTTGGCGGAGCTGCGCTCACAGCTGGTGGAGGCGAGGGCAGCCGCGGAGAGTGCTCGAGGAGAGGTGGAGGCACTCCAAAGGGAGGCGGAGGGCGTGCAGGCGCGGGTGGAAGAGGGCGAGCGGGACCGCGAGCAGCTGAGGGTTGTGGGCGAGGCAGAGGCGGCGGCGAGGGGGGCAGCGGAGGAGAAGGTGAGGAGCCTGGAGGCGGAGGTGGCACGGCTGGTGGAGGAGGGGCAGCAGAGAGAGCAGGCGGTGGAGGAGGCAGTGCAGGCAAGGGAGCGAGCAGAGGGCGCGGTGGAGGCGGAGAAGGAGGCGCGGCTGGAGGAGGTAGCGCGCAAGGAGAAGCAGGTGGTGGAGGAGCAGGGCGTGGCCGCTCAGCTGAGAGCTGCACTGGCGGAGTCCGAGGTGAGACGCATGAAGTGGAAGGTCCCGATTGCATTTGTGATCACTTTGCTCCACCAGCCCTGCCTGCAGGCCTGTCTTGAGGTCTCCGTGATGGGCTCGGAGGTGTAACTGTGCAGAGGCAGCACAGGGGAGTGAAGCATGCTCGCTCTCTTACCAACCACACTGCTCTTCGTTATGCACACGTGCTTCTTGTGCTCTGCTCGCCAGCCGCTCCAAGCGCTCGTGTCCAGCATTCTTCTGTGCCTCATTCCCCTCCCATGCGTGTCCTGCAGGCGCGGGTGGCGGAGATGGAGGCGCAGGTTGCGCAACTGCAGGCACAGGCGGAGCAGCATGCAGCGGAGGCGCAGGCAGCAGGCAGCGGGCAGGAGGAGGCGGCGGGGCGGGTGGCAGCGCTGCAGGCAGAGGTGAAGGAGACGGCAGATGCACTGGAGGCGATGAGGGCTCTCAAGGCAGCAGCAGACACGGCGCTCAGTGAAGCAGTTGCTGAAGCAGAGGCTGCGAGGGAGCAGCACAGGGAGGCGCTGGCTGCTGTGGAGGCAGAGCGGGAGGAGGCGAAGGCGAGAGTAGTGGCGTTGGAGCAGGAGGTGGAGAGTGTGAGGCAGCAGGTGGGTGATGCACAGCAGGCTGCTGCTGCCGCGTTGGCTGAGAGGGACGAGGCGAGGCGGGAGGCGGAGGGGTTGAGAGAGGACGTGGAGCGGGCGCAGGCGACGGTGGAAGCGAGTGCTGGGGAGAGGGCACACGAAGTGCAGGCAGTGACAGATAAGGCTGCTGAGGAGGAGGTGCGGAGAGTGGCGGCGGAGCAGAGGCAGAGCGAGATGGAGCGGGAGGTGGCAGAGAGTGCAGCGCGGTTGAGAGCGTTGCAGGAGGAGGTGGAACGAGTGGAGGGGGAGAAGAAGCGCGCGGAGGAGAGGGTCGCGGAGATGGAGAGGCAGGTGGCGCAGATGGAGGAGAGTGTGCGAGCAGCGAGTGGCGAGGCGGAGGGCAAGCAGCAGGAGGTGGTTCGCTTGCAGGAGGAGCTGCGAGCAGCGCAGGAGGTGGTGGGGGCGAAGGAGAGCGAGATGGCGGAGGCGAGGCAGATGGCGAGTGATCTCAAGGAAGAGCTGGGCAGGGAGAAGGAGAGGCGCGAGCAGGCCGAGGCGCAGGCTGAGGAGCTGAAGAAGTCGGGTGGGGGGAAGGGTGAGAGCGGTGGTGGGGAAGAGGTGGTGCAGGAGCAGCAGGCGGTGGGCAAGGCGGAGAGGGGGCTGCGGATGCAGGTGGAGGAGAAGGAGAAGCACGTGGCACGGCTGAAGGATCGCAACGACATGCTGGGCAGCGAGGTGAAGAAGCTCAAGGCGGAGATTACACGCCTGGAGGGCGAGGTGGGGGACAGGGGCGGGAAGAAGGGGAAGAAGGGGGGAGGGGGAGATGCGAAGGTGAGGGCGGAGAGGGATGCGCTGCAGAAGCGCGTGAATGAGGCGGATGGCGAGGTGAAGGCGCTCAAGAAGCAGGTCGAGGCGAGCGAGGCGGCTGTGGCGAGGGTAGAGGCGGAGAGGGAGGGCGCGGTGGCTGCTGCTGTGAAGAAGGCGAGCGAGGAGGCAGAGCAGACTAGGGAAGACGCTGAGAGGCGCGTGAGCGAGGCGCAGGGCGAGGTGCAGGTGATGAAAGTGCAGGTGACGGAGTTGGAGAGAGCTGTGGAGGAGGCAAGGGGGACGGCTGAGGAGGCGAGGAAAGAGGCTGAGAGGGAGCGAGAGGCGGGTGAGCAGAGGTTGGGAGAAGTGCGGGCGGCTTTGGAAGAGGTGGAGGGGGAGAAGAAAGCAGTGGAGGAGAGGCTTCTAGAGGTGCAGGGAGAGGTGGCGAAGACAGGTGAGGTGGTGGAGGGGCTGCGAGAGGAGGTGCAGGCTGTGAGGAGGGAGATGGAGGCGAAAGAGACAGAGTGGGTGCGAGAGCGAGAGGTTGAGAGGGAGAAGGAAAGGGAGAGGGAGGCAGAACGAGAAGCTGAGCGAGAGGCAGAGAGAAAGGAGAGGGAGAAGGAGAAGGAAGAGGAAAGACGGCGGGTGGAGGAGGAGAAGGAGGTGGAGAAGAAGCAAGAGGTAGCAAAGGTGCAAGAGGAGGCGGACGCTAAACTACGGACGATAGAGGAGGAGAGGCAGCAGGCAGAGGCGTCATGGCGAGCAGAGGAGTCAGAGCTGAGGGCGCAGGTGGCAGCTCTGGAGGAGAAGGCGCGAGAGCTGTGTGCGGAGTTGGAGCGGGTGAGGGGCGAGCATGCAAAGGACGTGGAGGAGCGGTGCCAGGCACAGACAGCGGTGGAGGCGAGCAGGGCCGCACTGGAGGCAGAGGTGGCGAGGCTGCAGGAGCATGCAGGGGCTGCTGCAACGATGGTGGAAGCAGGCCTGCAGGCGCGTGTGGAGGCGGAGCAGGCAGTGGTGAGACAGTTGCAAGCGGAGGTGTCAGGCTTACAGGAGACGATTGCAGTGGTGCAGAAGGAGAGCGAGGCAGTGACAGCTGCTGGTGCTGAAACGGGAGCAGAGAGAGACAGGCTGGCGGAGGAGCGGGATGAACTTGATGGGGCACTGAAGAAGCTCCAGGGAGAAGTGACAGAGTTGAAGGAATCGGTTTTGGCTCTGGAGAGCGAGAGAGATACAGTGAAGGGTGCACTTGCTGCAGCAGAAGAGGAGAGGGAGGGAGTGAGAGAGGAGCGGGAGAGAGTGCAGATGGAGAAGGGTGAACTGGAAGCAGCAGTGATGAGAGTGCAGGGCGAAGTGGAGGAAGCACGCAAGTCAATTGCGGCACTGGAGGTGGAGTGTGGAGCTGCGAGGGACGCACAGAGAGCAGTGGCAGAGGAGAGGGACGCTGAGAAAGAGGAGAGGGGGCGATTGGAGGGTGCAGTGAAGGAGCTGCAGGGCCGGGTGGATCACTTGACAGGGCAGCTGCAGGAGGCGGAGGGCGGTGCGGGCAAGGCACAGGCAGAGGCGGAGGCGGAGGCGGAGGCAGGGCGGTGGCGGGAGGAGGCGGAGAAGGCGGAGGCAGCGGTGGCGGCGGTGCGGGAGAAGCTGCACAAGGCGGTGCGCAAGGGCAAGGCCATGGAGGACGCCCGGCTGCAGGCCGAACGGACGGCAGAAGAGGAGAGGACACGGCTGCAGAAGGAGGTGCAGGCGAGGGAAGGCGAAGTGGCGCAGTGCAAGCAGAGGATTGGCGAGGTGGAGGCACTGCTGGAGGCGGAGAAGAGCCGGAGGGTGGAGGGCGAGAGGCGAGGTGCTGCGATGGCGGAGCTTGAGGCACGGCTGAGCACAGCGGAGCAGGCGCTGGCGGCGAAGGAAGCATGGGAGGAGGAGACGCGAGCAGTTAGTGAGGAGTGGGCGGGCAAGCAGGCAGCATGGGAGAGGAGGGAAGGTGAGATTGTGAGGGAGAAGGAATTGGTGGTGGAGCAGTTGCAGCAAGTGAGGCAGCAGGCGGAGGACTTGAGTAGCGAGGTGAAACGCAAAGAGGAGGAGCAACAGGCGGCACAGTGTGCATGCGAGGAGGCAGAGAAGGAATGTGAGAAGCTGAGGGCGGAGGTTGAGGGGCTTCAGACCCAGGCAGCAGCTCTACAGGCCGCAGCGGCCGCTGCCACAGCGATGGCTGAGGAGCTGGCAGCACAGAGTGCCGGGCAGGCGGATGGGCAGCACGGGGCGGCAGAGGCAGAGGTGGTGCAGCAGGCACTGCGGCATGCAGAGGAGCGAGAGCGGGAGAAGGAGCAGCAGGTGGAGCGGCTGGTGGGCGAGGTGCGTGCTGCTGTGGCGGCGAGGGAGGCGGCTGAGACGAGTGTTGAGGAGCTGCGAGGCAAGGTGGTGGGTGCAGAGGCCAAGGTGGTCGAGCTGGAGGGGCAACTGCAGCAGCTGCAGCACACCAACGCAGCGCCAGCAGGTGGGTAGTGCCACTGTTGCCATGCCGCTCGGTTGTGCTTATGCCAGCTGTTTTTTTTTTTGCACATGACGCATGACTCGACAATCTTGTGACTTGACTTGCCACTATCCCTTTGTCCTCGCTCTATGCTCTTGTGATATTGGGTTTGGGATTTGTATGCATGGGACAGGCAATGGAACAGCAGACACACTACCCAACACAGCGGAGGCGAAGGAGGGAGGTGGCAAGGCGCCGGCGGAGGCGGAGGCGGGGCGGTGGCGGGAGGAGGCGGAGAAGGCAGAGGCAGCGGTGGCGGCGGTGCGGGAGAAGCTGCACAAGGCGGTGCGCAAGGGCAAAGCCATGGAGGACGCTCGCATGCACGCTGAGCGGACGGTGGCGGCACTGCAGCAACAGCTGGAGACAGCACAGGCCAAGGTGCAGGCGCTTCAGGGCGAGATGCAGCAGGTGCAGGGCACGGCAGCTGCAGAGACAGAAGAGGCCGGGCGGTTGAGGGGCGAGGTGACCGCACTTGAGAGGGAGGTGGGGGAGTTGAAGGGCGCGGTGGAGCGAGCACAGGAGGAGACGAGCAGGGTGCAGGCGGAGGCAGAGCAGCAGGTGAATGGCGCACGAGAGGAGGTGGCAACATGGAAGGCGCAGGTGGACGCAGCGGAGGCGGAGAGTAGGCGACTGGAGGACGTGGTGAAGGGTGCGCAGGCGGAGAGGGAGGATGAGGGGAGCCGCGGAGAGGGGGCGAGTGCACGCGTGGGCGAGCTGGAGGCAGAGGTGGGACGGTTGAGGGAGGAGGTGAAGAAGAAGGAGGAGGAAGGGAAGAGGCGGGAGGAGAACATAAAGAAGAAAGCAGTTGAGAAGATGAGGAAGGCGGAGGAGGACGCCAGGAAGAAGGTGGAGCCTGAGGTCACTGCACTCAAGGCTGAGCTGGCTGCCGCCCAGGACAGGCTGGCTCAATCACAGGCTGAGGTGGCGAAGGCAGTGGATGAGCTGGAGCAGGTTCGGCACGAGTCAAGAGAACTTCGTGAGAAGGTGCAGGAGGTGGAGGGGAGGGAGGCGAGTGCATGCGGGAGAGTGGGGGTGTTGGAGGAGCGGGTGGGCGAGCTGGAGAGGGAAGCGCAAGAGCAGAGGCAGGCAGCAGAGGAGGCGATGGCAGCGTGTGTGGCGGAGTGGCAGAGCAAGGTGGAGGAGTCAGAGCGAGGTCGGGCCAGCAGTGCGCAGCAAGTGGTTGCACTGGAGCAAGGTGAGTGGCTGGTTGGTGTTACGCTCCCGGCACCATTCCTCTCACTCCCGATCAGATGTAACGGCACCAACACCATTCGCCCTGCTTCGTTGGCAGCTCAGAAGCCCGTCCTATGCCCTGGGTCTCAGCCTTGTCGAGGTGCTATGGTTCCGTGTGCCCCACATGGCCACAGCTTCTCTGCATTGTTTCTAGGGCCATGCTGCCACTCACCATGAGTGCCCTCTCCCCATGACCTCAACCTGTGCCGCTTGCTCTGCTTGCTGCCTCTGTGTACCTCTCCTCCTCCGCCCTCCTGTGATCAGCGCTGGCGCAGGAGCAGCAGCAGGCGGCGACAGCAACGGAGCAGGCGGAGAGGTGGAGGGAGGAGAGTGAGAGGAGGGCAGTGGAGGGGCAGCGAGCGGAGGAGCTGAGAGTGGAGGCGGAGAAGGGTCTTGCTGTGGCCTCCCAGCGCGTGGAAGAGGTGGGCTCCTCTCACGTCCTCCTTCCATCCACACGTTCGGCAACCTACCGCTGCCCTTGTGCTTCAGTACCATGTGCAGCATGCGCCATGCCCGTCTCACCCCTGTGCTGCCACGCGTGCCTTTGTGTTTCCTGTGCCATGTGGTCTCCTTGCACCCTTATCCCCCGTACCTTGTTTCCTTTACTTCCATGATATTCCTCCCACCCCCGCACGTGTCTGCATGCATGCAGGTGGAAGGGCAGTTGCAAAAGGCGAAGTTTGCGGTGCGCCAATGGGAGGAGGAGAGGAGGCAGGCGAGGGAGGAGGTGCAGGTGCTGCAGGGGCAGGTGGAGGCGCAGCAGGCTCAACTGGTGGAGGTCACAGCCAAGCTCGACGCTGCCCTCGCTGCTGCTGCTGCTGGAGCAGGAGGCGAGGAGAGGCCTGCAGCTGGACTGGTGGCCGCAGGGAGCGATGGTGGTGTGGAGAAGGTGCTGAGGGAGAGTGAAGCGACCACGGGTGCAGCACAGGTGGTGAGTGCTGGATGCCTTGCGCGCCGTTCGAATCTGTTGCTCTTCTGGAAGCTTCTTGTTCCATTATCTTACCTCTTTCTGAGTCAATCCTTGTGTGGTACTTATGTTTCTGCAGCAGCGTGAGGAGGAGCGGCAAGAGCATGAGCGGCAGGTGGGGGCGGTAAAGGAGTTTGGGGAAGTGCAGGAGGGCATGGGTGACATAGAGGCGCGTGCACATGCACTGCAGACAGAGAACGAGCAATTGAGGGCAGAGAGGGATGTGATCAGGATAGAGAGGGATGAGATTAGGGCAGAGAGGGATGAGATTAGGACAGAGAGGGATATGTTGATGGGTGAAAAAAAATTCATTGCTGGTGAAAGGGACGTGTTAATTGGTGAGAGGGACATGTTGCAAGGTGAAAGGGATGTGCTGATTGGTGAAAGGGACGTTTTGATTGGTGAAAGGGATATGTTGATGAAGGAGAGAGATGCTTTAGCAGAGGAGAGGGAGCAGGTGGTGGTGCAGCGGGAGGGGCTGGTGGCGGAGAGGGAGGGGTTGATGGGCGAGATAGAGGGGCTGCTGGTGGAGAAGGGGCACGCCAGTGGCGAGCGGGAGAAGCTGCTGCTGGCACTGGAGGAGCTGCGCCACTCCCTGGCCGCCCGCGGCGAGCACAGTTCCGAGACACAGAGGCGTGCAGGGGGAGGCATGGAAGCAGGCTCAGGGGAGTCGAGGCCGGAGACAGACGACAGTGTGAGTGAACGGGGTGCAGGGCATTGTGCTTGCACTCAAGGGCTTGCACACACTATTGTTTATTCCATGTCGTTGTGCACCTTTGCTGGTCTAGGGTCCCTGCGCTCTCGTCTTTTTGAAAAACCTATCTGTGCTCATTTTCCACCAACCTCCCTGTTTATGACACCATGTGCAGCACCGGCAGAGGGAGCAGCAGCCACGATCACAGGAGCCACCTAGGGACAACCGGGAGCGGGAGAGGGAGGGCGAGCGACCCGCGAAGCGGCCACCCCAGCCTGGCCCTTCCCACACCCCGTTCTCGCCGCCCCTCGTCTCTCGTGCAGCCCCTTCCCCCGCTGCTGCTGCTGCCTCCACGGCCTCCCCCGCTGCGCTCCCCAGCAGCAACCTGCGCCCGCTCTCATCCTCCTCGTCGCCCTCAGCGGCGGCTGCGGGTGCGGCATCAGCAGCAGTGCATGTGGACATTGAGGCGGCCACACATGCACGGGGCGACGATGAAGGTGCTGTGCTGCCAGGGGACCCATGGGAGGGAGGCAGGCAGCCAACCCTTAGCGTGGCAGTGCTCATGGGCTTAACATGCATCTCCTTGCTCTTGCTGCGGCTCATCCATGTTCCCTCTCTCACCCCGCTCCTCCCTCTGTCGTTTCCTCTCTTATTCTGACCTAGCTGCTCAGCCCTGCACCCTACCTCTCTCACCCCTCCTATGTAATTCAGTGTGTGAACATACATCTTCTCCTGTCGCTCCCCTGTGTCCCCCAATGGACCCCTGACCGCTGCAGTGCAAGGATTCACGCCCATAGTGACTGCCTTCCGCTCCCTGCCTCGCCCCCTCAACTCGGCTGCTCGCACCATCGACCGTCTCTTGTACGCACTCCCTTCCTTGCCTCCCCCACATGCACTTCCGTGCCCTCACCTCCTCCTCCGCTGCCTGCCCCATTCTCTACTCCCCCGTGCTGTGCAATTGATATTGCGTCACCTCCACTTCCCCATTCCCATGCGGCTGCCCTGTCACCTGTATTATACTCACTGCCCTTCAGCACCCGCTCATCCCATTCTATCCAGCATCTATACCCCTCGTCCACTTGCCTGACCACTCCCCATGGTCGCCCGTGTGCCCCATGCGCCCTGCCACGTGTGCCGCCACCATGGGCAGTGTGTCAACGGGGCGAGTGCTCATGTCGCGGCCCCTCATGCGCATCGCTGTGGCCGCCTACTGGCTGCTGCTGCACGCCTGGCTGCTGCTGCTGCTCGCCACGGTGGGTTGCAACCACTTGCTGCTTGGTGTATGGGGCATGGTGCATGGTGCATGGGCATGGTGCATGGTGCATGGGGTATGGGCATGGGCATGGGGCATGGTGCATGGGGTATGGGCATGGGCATGGGCCATGGGCCATGGGGCATGGAACATGGGGCATGGGGCATGGGGCATGGTGCATGGACATGGTGCATGGCTCATGGTGCATGGTGCATGGGTCATGGGTCATACACGCGGGGCATGAAGCATGCTGTGGTGTGTGCTGCACGTTGCAGGTTGTAGTATATGCAGGGTGCAGGTAGCTTGCAATGGGGTTGACCAGTGATCTGCATGCACCACAGTAACTGTGTTGCACTGCACGCACTGCTGTGCTCTTCATCTCTTCCCTTCTCCGCACCACCATAGGGGCCATGCGCTCCTGGCCACCCTTCTCCCCACCACCATCACATCTCGCTCACCATCTCCCTCGTTCCCCCCCCTTTCTTGTGCTGTCCCTTCCCCCTGTGTGCGTGCAGCCTCGCAGCGAGTTGGACATGCCATAGAGTGACAGTCCGTGGCTGCTCTCGCCCATGCCATGGCCAGCACTCTTGTTGCTCTCACTGCCATACGCGCTGCAGCACATCGGCACACAAGCAGCTATGGTCCGTCACTCCCAACAGATTAAGGCTACAAGTGACGCAGACACAAAATTGACTTATTATTCACTAGATATTGTAGGCATTGTTGTTGACCATGTCTTGGCAGATAGAGAAATAATGTATTAGCAGATATGGAATTTAGTCATGGTTAAATATGAAGGGCTGGGTTTGACAGAGGCACTACACCAGCAACACTAATGGTTTCGCATTGAGTCTGTGAGGGACGAGCATGTCGACTTGCAAACCCAGGTGCAGCACAGGATGCCTACATGGGAGCAGGGAGCGAGGCAAGGCGAAAGCCTACTCTTTTAGCATCCACCACACTGCACGGCATCATGCCGCCACTGCCCTCCCCCGCTGCTGGCACTGCTGGGTGCAGGGGTTCCCGAGGCACCAGGGCCATGGGGGACATTGGTGCGAGGGATGGTGGGGCAGAGGCAGGCACGTGGGAGGGCGGGGTGGCGTCCAGAGGGCTGAGGGGCATGCCCAGCTGCCTGCACAGGGCCTGCAGCTGCTCCTCTGAATCCTGGTGGTGGCCAGCAGAGGGGTGGAGAGGGATGGACATGAGGGGGCTGAATGGCCCAAAGCACGGGGGTGGAGGTAAGGACTGGTAAACAGGAAGATTAAAACGCAGCTCAAGGTGACAGTAGAGTGCGGCAAAAAGAGGGGCGGAGTAGAGAGTGGAGAGTGATGGTTAGGGATAGGGAGGGGAGGTGCAACGGACCAAGAGGAGGAGCGGTACAAGGCGGTGCAGAGGGATGGGGTGCTGGCGGTACCCTGCTGCATGCACTGCCTTGAGAAACACCGAGCGCAGCTGCAGAGATTGGGAAGGACGGGCATGGGGTGTTGGGAGGGTGGGGGACAGCGGACGAGGGAAACAGATGGGTGAGGGACGTGGGGACGTGTTGGTGTAGGGGTAACAGATGCTGTGATGCTGACAGCAGTGGAGTGGAGTGTGAGAGAGAGCAGGGCGATTCAGCAGAGCTGGGTAGAGTAGAGCAGGGTAGAGCACCGACCGCAGTGAAGTGAAAGTGCAGCAGGCACGCCTGAAGGTACGTAGCTCGCTCCCTCACAAGACGGAAGAAGCGGATGGTGTTGTTTGTCCTGTAGCAACTGGACAAGTTAGGCAGCAACGGTAGCAATACAAACGAAGCAAGTGTGGGAGGGAAGGATGGGTAAGTGCACTGGCCAGTGATGGGGAAATGGCTTCAACGCAACTCCACCTGCTGACACCAAGGCCCCTTCTTCCCTATCACTGTCTGAGTGCATCACCACCTAAAACCCTCACTGCAATCCCCCCATCCCTCTGCTCCCCCTCTTCAACCACACCCTCTCGTTGCACCCTGCTTTCCCGCCCCCCCCCTGTCTTGTACCCACCCGCCTTTCCCTGCCCCGTTCCCATCCCCTGGTCCTTCCCCCTTTTCCCCATCACCCAGCAGGAGGACGCACCGCAGCAGGGAGAGGGCGAGGCGCATGTGAGAGGAGCGCAGGAGGGAGGGGCGCAGGGAGGAGAGCATGGGTGCCAGGGACTCGCATGTGGGCATGTGCGAGTGAGGCGCCATGTGCAGTATCACATACAGCGACGTGAATTCGCCCTCCTCATCCTCCTCCTCCTCCACCTCCTCCCCACCACCTCCACCACCAGCCTCCACCGCTGCCATTCCAGCTGCGCTTCCCACCTGCCCCCCCTCCAACGCCTCCTCCTCTCTCTCCTCCCAACTCTCCACCGCTTGCTCCTCCTCGTTCCTCCCACCTGCTCCTGCCCCTTGCAACGCTGCGCCTCTCGCTGCTCTCCTCACGCCCTCCGCATCTGCAACTGACCCCGAGTCATCGCCCCAGCTATCCACCGCCTCACCCCCCTCCACCCCACCGCCTTGGTCGTCCGTGGCTGCTCCTGTGCGCGTGCACACGCCGCCGCCGCTGCTGCTGCCCGTGCCGCTTGTAGCGGTGGCGCTGCTGCTGGATGCAGAGCAGCTGCGCTGTGCAGGGGAGGGTGGGGCGCATGCATGGGCAGAGGCGGCATGGTGGCGGCACGTGGAGAAGGCGAAGAGCAGGCTGCGCAGGGCCTCCGCCAGATGCTTCAGATTCAGATGCGCGTCAAACCGATGCACCGCTGACGGTGAGGGTGACGACGGAGCGCAGGTGGTGGTGCCTCTCCTGCCTGCGCCTGATGCCACCTCCTCGCCTCTGCCCCCACCCTTCCCCCTCAACGATGCACTGCTGCCCCCACCACTGCCACCCCTGCCTGTCGTGCCTGCAGCAGCGCTCCCTGCCTCTCGCCCGGCAGCAGGGAGTGAATGGGTAAGGGATGTGGCGAGCTCGTATGCTGCTGCTGCATGGAAGCGAACCTGTTATGGAGATGGGGATGGGGATGGGGATGGGGATGGAAATGGGGATGGGACGAGAAAGGGGATGGTGATTTTCAGCCCAAGCTCCCTCACTCCAAACACTTGTCCCTCCCCCCACCTACCTCTCTCTCCCTCCCACACAACGCACCATGGGTGCGAGCAGGTGCACGGCCTGGGCGCCATGGATGCGTTGCATGGCCATGTCCTGCCGCATGCCGCGCATGCGGTCGCTCACAAACTCGTACACGCTCTCGCTCATGCGCCCCTCGCCCAACACCACCGCCCCGCGCTCCGCGCCCCGCCATCCGCCGTGACCTGCGCCAGTCCCCTCCCCCCCCACGATGCGCACGAGGTGCACCAGTGCGCGCATGAGCACTGCGGGCGGGCGGATCTCGTCGCGCGGTACAGCCACACCGCCAGCGCCCAGGGTGCGGGAGAACTGGCGGGTGGGCGGGTGGGCGGGGGAGAGGGTGCGGAGGACGGGGATGAGACCGACAAGGACGGCGCATGACTGGTGAGCGCGGGAGGCGAAGAGCGAAGAAGCGAGGAAGTCGGAGAGCGCGAGGGAACAGGGGGTGAAGATTGGGTGGCGGGGCGAGGCACCTTCTTAACGGCGAGCAGCGGCGACGTGCTGAAGGGGTCGTCGCGCCGTCGCTCGAACACCGCCAGGTCCCTCAGCCGCTCGCGCGCCGCGCGCTCCCTCGCTGCCCGCCATTGCGCACATGTGGGAGCAGAGGGGGAGGGGGAGATGATTTGGGGGAATTGAGCGATGGTGGAGTGAGACAAGGACGAGAGGGAGGTGGTGAGGGGGCGACTGATGAGCGGAAGACGAGGACAGACGGAGAAACGACGGAAGAGAGTGCGCGGCAGAGAGAGAAGAGAGGAGCGAGCGAGCGAGCAGGCGGCGCAGTGCGTGGCTGGGGAGTGCGCGTGAGCGCGCGGTGTAGCGCGTGAGTGAGGGGCGCGCGCGCACCAGGGCACATGTCGGGGCACGTGCCCACACACTCGCTCGCAGCCCGCTCCCCCTCCTCCCCGCCCGTGCACTCCTCGACCTCCCCCACCACCCACAGCTGCTCGCGCGCCCGTTCCGCCCGTGCGTCTCCCGCATGGCTCGCTGCGCCGCCGTGCTGCGCGGTCGGGGCGCTTGCCGCACACGCGGCGCTCGTTTGGCCTAGCGACGGCGAGTGGCGCGCGGCGCATGGCTTGAGCGGTGCGAGGGCGGACATGGGTGCGGAAAAGTAGGTACGGGTTAGTAGCAGTAGGAGCGCAGAACTAGAGGTGAGGGAAGGAGCGACAATGCGAAGAATAATGTGAGTGGTAGCCGAACTTGGCGGACTTTATCACTGCGTTCAACGGGCCCAAGTGGGTTGTTGAAACATAAAGGTATCGGTGCAGTACGGTGCATCGGTGCGATCCCCTCCCTTCAATCGGGTCAAATTTGTTTTCCCTCCACTCCACAACATCCGCCCAGTTCGCCCCAGCACAGATCACATCCCATCACTGTAGTCGCCAAATCCGCCACCCCTCAACGCGCCACGCACAGTCGGGAGCCATCACCACCACATTCACGCCGCCACACCCGTTCCCGCGCCTCTCCGTGTCCGCCACTCGTCCACGCCCTTCCACCCCTGCCATCACACAATTCACCTCGTCTGCCGTCGCACGTCGTTCTAGTCGCTGCGCGTCTCCCACTTGCGCCTCCGCCTCGCGCGCGCCGCTGCGCGCAATGGCGGAGTTTGCGGAGCGTGTGGCGGACGCGGTGATGGCGCAGTACCGCGCGCTGCGCCCCAAGGGGAAGCCCCAGGCGCACGAGTACACGGCGCTCGCCGCCTTCGTCCTCACGCGCTCCCCCGCCCCGCTTGCCGGTCAGTGCCGCTCCCACACCTCCCACCTCCGCCTACCGCTTTCCGCTCCGCCATCGCATGCGCACGTGGCTCCTCCCTTCTCCGTTCGCGCCACCTGCGCGTCCAATTGCTCCTTCCGCCGCCATCAGGTCGCCGCATTTGCGCCGCCGTTCCGCCGGTAGCTCACCGTGCGGTGCGCCCTTCCCCGCGCTCCGCGCCCAGCAGGAGAGCCGCGTGTGGCGGCGTTAGCGACGGGCACCAAGTGCACGGGGGGGGACGCGCGGTCAGCGGCGGGCGACGGGGTGAGCGACTGCCACGCGGAGATCGTCGCTCGACGCGCTCTGGTGAAGTGCGTGCGCGCGTGACATGCTGCCTGCCCGCTGCGCACTCGCACCCACATGCTCTCACGCCCTCACGCTCTCACATCTCACACTCTCTCACTCACTCATGCTCTCTGCTGGGAGAGGGGGGGTGGCGGTGGGGAGGGATTGATTGGGACGGGTATCGTTGGGGAGGGCACAGGGGGGAACCGGGATGGGGAGAGGGGGGCTTTGATTTGATGTTGGTGGGGTGGTGAGTGAGCATGGTGGTGGCGTGCAGGTGGATGTATGCGTGCATTGAGCAGCTGCTGCACGCACGGCAGGGGCGCGCACGCACACAAGGCGAGGAGGGAGTGCGACACACGGGGCTCGCTGCAGCTGGTAGTGATGGCGCCATTGGTGGTGGCGCCGTTGGTGGCGCCGTTGGTGGCGCCGGTGGTGGCGCCGGTGGTGGTGGCGGTGGTGGGAGCAGGAAGAAAGGAAAGCGGGCATCAGGCGGAGAGGGAGGGGCAGTTTTGTTGAATGCAGAGGACAACCCATTCATTCTAGTGGAGGGGTGTGGTGACGCACAGAGTGGTGCGAGGCGAGAGCAGCAGGGGTGTGAGAGCAAGGCGCAGGAGCGTGGAGTGGTGGCGGCGGCATGGCGACCTGGCTTCCACCTGCACCTCTACTGCTCCCAGCTGCCCTGTGAGTCCCTGCCCCATGCCCCATCCATGCTCGTTCCGCCCATAGTGACAGCAAGGCATGGGGAAGCAGCAGCCCCAGCAGCGTGGCAGCATCACTCCTGAGACCGCTCCTGCGATCCGCACTCCCTTGAGTTCCCCTCCCCCCTGTGGCAGGTGGCGATGCGTGCATTGTGGATGCTGCTGCCCCGCCACCTTCACGCGCCCTCGCTTCTGGGCCTTCTTCACCCGATGCTCTCGCTTCTGGTCACCTAGAGGGGAGCCGGGAGGAAGGGGCGGATGGGGAGTGTGTGGATGAGGTGGCGGAGAGCACAGAGGCGGGCATGCCAAGGCCAGGTATGAACTGGTGTATGGACGCTTGCCTGCCTCACTTGGCACGTGCGGTGCTGTTTGCTCTTGTGCAGAGCAGCAGCACGCCCTTGTCAGCATGCTCTTTTGTTCTTTTGTAGTATGAGGAACCCTCTCACTCATGTACTACCTCGTGAACCTTATTGCCCTCACTCTCTTTTTCCCCCTTTCCCCCTCTCATACTCCAACCTGCCCACCTTCCTCCCCCCTCTGTGCGGGCGTGCAGGCCCCAGCAGGCGGCTGGCAACAGGCGCCAAGGTCTTGCCTCCTCCGCCGCCCCTCGCCCCCTCCCTTGACCACCGCTCCCCCGCTGCTCCCCCGGACGCTGCTGCTCATGCAGCACTGGCGTGCGGCAGCGGGGGGGCGAGGCAGCGGGAGCGCGAGGGCGGAGGGCAGCAGCAGGTGGTGGGAGTGGTGCGGCGCAAGCCAGGGCGGGGCGAGGCGACGCTGAGTGTGAGCTGCAGCGATAAGATGGCTCGCTGGAACGTGCTGGGCGTGCAGGGTGAGGGGGGAAAGGAGGGGAGAGGGAAGGGGGGGCATACGTGGGGGCGGGGAAAAGGGGCCAGGGAATGGCAGCGGGTGTGGGAAAGGGAGGACCGAAGGAGAGGGGGTGATAAGCAGGGAAGGGGGTATGCGGATGAGGAATTGAAGTACCCATGTGGCACCAGCACCTGTCCGACTCCATGGCATGTCACATCTCCCTCTCCCCCCCCACCTGCCACCCGTGCCCCCTTCTTTCCGGCAGCAGGAGCCATGCTGAGCCACCTGGTGTGCGCGCCGGTGTACATCACGTCCGTCATCCTCGCTGCCCCGCCGCCTCCCCACTCCTCCCCGCTCTCCTGCCCCATCTGCTCTCCCCAACGCCTCTGCCCATGCCTGGGTGCACCAAAGGGAGGAGAGGGGGTTGATGGTGGGGAGGCAGGGAAGGGGGAGTGGGCGAGTGAGGCAGAGGGGAGTTGCACGGGGGGAGTTGGCAGGGAGGGGTCGTGTAATGGACACGGGTGGGTAGGTGAGGGCGAGGAAGGGGGGGCAGGAGGAGCAGGCGGAGGTGAGAGCAATAGCAGAGCTGGGCAGCAGAGGTGTTCATGTGTGTTGAGTGCGGTGAAGCGAGCACTGTACTGGCGACTGGTGATGCCAGCAGCGCAGTGTGCAGGTGCAGAGAGCAGGGAGCATGGTGTGGTTGGCGAAACGTGCAAGGATGCTTGCACATGCACCGGGAGGAACGGGAGTGCAGAATCGGGTGTTGATTGCCGGGAGTGTGGTTGTGGTGCGGGGAAGAGGAGGAGGAGGGACAGCAGCAGTTGGCCACACTACCATGTGCACCAGGTCATGCTTGCTTGCTGCTGGGTGCTTGCTGCCGGATGAATAACAGCAGGACGATAGCAGCTTGTCAAATTGCTTCAGTTGTCCTAAATCTTTCCATGCCATCGCCATTCTATCCACTCTGCTCCTGGTCTTGAGCCATCTCTCACCACACCTTCCACGCATCCCCTCTCTCTCACCTACGCTATGCTTACACCCTCCCTCCTCTCGCCCCTCTCCTGTGGCCACAGCCTGTCATGCTGTGGGCACCGTCACCGCCCTCGCAGCTGGCTCGCCAGCACGACTCGCTCACTGCTGTCGCCTGCGGGTAACCCAACGCGCCTTTCAACCTTGCTGCATCGCACGCCATGCACCACAGCCATCCCGCCATCACCACAGCCATCCCGCCATCACCACAGCCATCCCGCCATCACCACAGCCTTGTCTCTCGTCGTCACAGCGTTCCCCCCTACCGCTCTCACTGCTGGCCCCACCACGCACGCAGGTTCTCGCTGCTGTGGGATGCGGCGTCAGCGCAGCAGGAGGCGCTGATAGGCACGTGTGGGCGGCGCCAGGGCACCTCCACACGGGGCGCTCTCTCGCCCTCCACCCGCTCCTCCATCTGCCGGTCTGCCTCACCACTTGCCACTTCAACTGCTCCCCCACTGTCCCATCTCTCACACCCTCTTCCCCTGCCCTTCACAACTTCTCCCCTGACCTTGTACACCCTCTTTTCTTGCTCTTTGAACACTGCTGTGCTGTCAATCATGGTTCAGTGGTGTGCCTGTGTGCCCGCCATACCAGTGAAGCGCATTTGAACCACACGTCCTCATCTCCCATGTGTGTGTGCCGTCTCTCACGTGTCACCCCCTCACTGCCATGTCTGTCTGCCCTCCTGCCCGGCATATTCCCCCAAGAGCATCGCTGCTGGCTCGCTTCAAGGCCCTCCTGCCATTCTTCCCGCACCACCTCTCCCTCACCTCCTTGACCTACCTGCACATCAAGGTCTGTCCCCCTCTCTGCCTTGCCTTGTGCCACGTGCCCTGTGAATCCGCCCACCCCATGCCTCATGTTCTCTACTGATAAGTTATACCATTCTTATTGACCTTCCTGCCTGGTAATTCACCTGCCTCCCTTTCCCCCATCCTTCCACCCCCTCCACCCCCCTCACCCCCACCAGAGGGCAGCAGCAGCCTATGAGCATGCACGTGCAGCGCTCCATGCAGCCCCCTCTCCATTTCACGAGTGGATTGAGAAACCTCCGGTCTGGCAAATGTTCACATGAGCGAGCTTCAACTCAAGAAATACTGGCATTAGCTTTACAATTAGTACCATCAAGACATATGTAATGTACACAACAGCGTATTGGAGCTCAAGTTAGCAATCATGCTAGTTTGTTCTGAGGACATGCAGCAAGGAGTTTGAAAGCCCAGATTGAAGCCCCTGCTCTGCTCGCTTGCATGCTTGCCAGGCAGCTCATGGTGGCAGACGCCCCCACACGGCCCTTGTGCACCCCCTTGCATGCTCCTCTTGCCACACCATTCTCAACGCACTTTCTTGCTGCTGCCAGGCCTGATGCTGCTGAGGGCAGATGCAGAGGGGAGCGGGATGAGAGATGCAGTGAGTCCACACACGTGTAGGCTGGAGAGGAGAAACACTTGTGCAGTGTGGAGAGGCACAAACATGCGGGCAGGGGAAGGAACCAAGGGAAGATAGCAGCAGGTCAATTGCACCATGTGACATGGGTACATGAGCAAGAGGCAGCGCACAACCCGTGGCGCACACCAATGGCCGCTTCACCTGCCGGTCCCCGCAGGCACACTGCCCATGCCTTACCTCCCCACGCCTTTCCGCTTGTTCCCCTCCCCCTCCCCGTCTTTGCTGCCGCCTCCGCTCCCGTCCTGCATCAGCACGGTTGAGGGGAGGCAAAAGGGGAGGAGTGGAAAGAAGGAGAGCACGAGTGCGCGCATCTCTGCATGCATACATGAAGTCCGTGTGCTCAAACGTGCATGCAAGTGCTAACGCGTCCTCAAAGGCACATTGCGCATGTTTGCTCACATGGTCAGGGCAAACATGGTCGGACACATATGGTCAGGGCTTATGGCCTAGGGTCCCGCAAAAGCGAGGTTGTGGAGGGAACGACGGTATGGATACAGGAAGGTGAAGCAGGAGGATTAGGAAGCAGCACCCAGGGCACCTCCTTGCCATGACCTCCAACCATTGTCACATGCCTTGCCCCACCTGCTCCCCTGCCGTGCCTTGCCTCTCCTCCTCATCTCGCTCCACTTTCTCTCCTGCTTCTGCTTCCTGCTTCGCCTTCCCACCCCCTGTCTCCTCCCCACCTCCCACTGTCACACGACCACCGTCACCACCACCAACGTCCTCCCCTTCCTCGCCTTCCAATTCCTCCGCATCATCTTCTGCCTCCTCCACCTCTCCACCTTCTATCCTCTTCGCCTCCTCCTCCTCCTCCGCCTCCTCCTCCTCCTCGCCCACATCCTTGTCCTCCGCATGTTCCACGCCCTCGTGCTCCTCGGCGCTGCCACTCCCCCCCCACGCCTCCTTGCTCACGTCAAAATCGGCATCTTCCTCCTCCTTCGCAAGAGAAGTGGGAGAGGAGAGCAGGGGAAGGAGGCGGAGAAAAGTCATTGGAGTGAGAGGTGGGTGGGGGAGGAGGGAGGGACGGGGAAGAAGGACTGGAGGGTGACAGGAAAGAAAGGTGACATGGATTATGATAATCATCATACTAGTAATTGGAGAAGTAAAGCTGGAGAGGGGACGAAGTGGGTGGACGTGGGGTGTGGGCGGGGGAGCGCGCGAGCAGCACCTCTTGGAACACACTCTGCTCCCAAAACGCCTTGTCTCGCTCCACATCCTCCTCCGCTCGCTTGCTGCTCCTGCCATGCCACGCCACGCCATGCGCACTCACAGCAAGCGAAAACATTAAGGCCGATGAGTCACATAGCAAGCACGATACTCGCTCTCTTCACCTCCTCGCCCTTGCTGCCCTTGTTCTTCCCACTCCCCGCACCAAAACCACCTCCACCACCCAACCCCGGTCGATCGAACGCACCATTTCCCCCGCGTTGATCGCGCCGGAAGTCGCCTCGCCATGGGTTCCTCTGCCATGCTTACCACGCTCCCTCCCCTCAACACCCTCCCCCTTCCCCCCCTGATCCGCGGGGTGTGATTCGCGCAAGGCGGGGAGAATGTCCAGAGAGCGTCACGCGGAGCAGTCAGGAGCGAAGACGCGGCGAGAGTCGAGAGGAGAGGGGAAGAACAAGGGGTGCTAGATGAGTGCGACGGAGAGGGGCGGTGGTGCAAAATGACGGGTCACTGATACACTTATTTTGCAATTAACTCACATCTTCAAACTCGGTAAACAAAATATGAAATTGTAAATCCATCTATACCAATTGATTTTGTAATGTCTTGGCAGTAATGTCTAGTCTCAACTTGTACTACGGTTAAGATCGGTTTCCAGTGTAATTGTCAGATTCTGTGTTCTTTCCGCGACTTTGGAAGGGGTGAAAGGAGCATTGACGTCGTCGGTTCAACCACCACTCTGGGTTCCTTTCCAGCTCGCATGGTGCCATGGCTCCAAGCTTCCGTGGGGAAATTGCGACACCCATCAAGCATCTACCAACCAACCTATCCTCTGAAAAAGCCATAAGAGATTCACCTATCGACAGGCCGACCTTGCTCTGTTCGTGTCCTCCCTTCCTTGTGTTGACCGCACCGGCATGCGTGGCAGCACCCGCCGTGTGGTTGGGCGGGGCCCACGTCACGGGGCAGCAACGGCGCAGCATGGCGTGGTGGCGCAGCGGCAGGCGCTGGCGTGGGCGTGCGCGCGGTCCTCCTCAGCGGCGGTTGCGCGTGAAGCCCTGAGCGCGCGATGAGGCAGCAGGCGGCCGTGGTACGCGGGACTGGCGGTGGAAGGGCGGCGGCGTTTGAGCAGCGGGCGGAGGGCTGCGTTTGAGTGGCGTATGCTGGCGGAGCTGGCGGCCACGATGGCGCGCCCAGCCACGTGGACGGCAGGGGTGGTGGCGCGGTTGAAGGAGGCCGGGGAGAGACAACGGCCTCGCATTGGAGCGCGCGGCGGGTCGGGGTCTGCGGGGATTGTGTGGGCGCGGCAGAGGGAAAAGAGCATGGCGGAAACGAAGGTAGCGGAGGAGCAGCGGGGGAAAGTGAGGATTGGGAGAGGCGGCACAATGTGAGTCGGCTGTGCACTGAACTGGATGAGAGGCTGTCGCCCTGCCCCGCACTGTGGTGCGAGGGCTGGTGGCAGCACAGCAGCGCATGGAGGGCGCGGTGGGGCAAGGGGGGAGCAGCGATGGATGGGAGCGGGAGAAGGCGGCGCTGGTGGAGTTCCAGGCAGCGCTGGCCCCGGCATCACAGCAGGTGCTGAAAGAATGGTCGCTCACGTCGCTCGTGGCCATGTGCCACTGGAGAGGGGTTGTGTGCTTCAACGAGATAGGCTTAACCGGATGCTGCTAATGGCACCGGCACTGCTGCTGCTGCTACTGCTGCTGTGAGCGATGTGACGCACACCCCCAACGCTGTGATGGGTGTGGTGTTGTCGCAGCTGCGCTGCCGTCCCTCTCCTCCTACCTCTACCTCAACGTCAACTCGCTCTCCTCCTCCATCCCCACGGCCCTCGCACGCCTCTCCTTGCTCGTGGAGCTGGCGCTGGGCACGAACGACCTGGCGGGCACGGTGCCAGAGGCGCTCTCAGCGCTCACGGCGCTCTTGTCATCCTGGACCTCGTCACCAACCGCCCCGCCTCTCCCGGACCCTCCCCTCGCCCGCCTTCTCCGCCTGGTGCCGCGCCGCCTTCAGCATAGAACTCACCGGAACCCCTTGTCTGGGCCCCTGCCTGACTTGTCGGCGTGCACGGGGCTGGTGTGGCTGGACTTGGGGACGAGTGGCTTCAGTGGCAGCATGCCGTCGACTCTCAGCCTCATGATCTCGCTGCACACGCTCATTCTCCTCAACAACTCCCTCTCTGCCTTGCCACCCATAAGCCTCGACTCGCTGTCGGCCCTGGGCCAGCTGGACCTTTCCAGAAACAACCTCACTGGCCCCATCCCCCCCTTCTGCGCCTCGCCCAGTTACACGCGGCTGCGCAGCCTGCGGTTCAGTGGCAACGAGCTGAGTGGGCGCGGGCCAGCGTCGCTAGGCAGGTGCGAGCTGCTGGAGAACCTATTCCTGGACGACAACCGCCTCTCGGGCTCCCTCCCTGCCACCTTCCGCATGCTGCGCCGCCTGCGCCAGGTGCGCCTGGAGCGCAACAAGCTATGGGGCCCTCTGCCATGAGCGCGGCTACAGAACATCACCGAGATCTGGCTCGAGGGCAACGCCCTCGCCGTCCGCACACCGCCCGACCTGAGCTCTGCACAGCCTCCTCCTCCCAACAGGTGTCGCTGCTGCTGACGCTGCTGCCTCTCTGCTCATTGCTCGCAGCAAAGGTGCTCTTATTGTCTTCTGCGCACGTCGGGAAATTCTATGCCTTTTTAGGTAGTATCACCGTTGCATAAATATTTCTGTCTAGAGAATATATGCTCGGTACCCTTTCGTTCAGTCCCTACCTACCTCCAGTCCCTGCCCGCACCGCCCGCACTGCCGCCGCGTGCCGTGTGTGCCTTGGCCAAGCCCTCAGTTCCCTCCCTCAGTTTCCTCCCTCTCTAACCCCACTTCCCTTAACGATTTTTCACTCATGCTATTTTTACCTCTCTTTTCAGTCGTTCAATAACACCATGATTCCACACATGCTGTTCTGATCCCACCGCCTAACAGGTACCAGGCACAGCTGCAGGAAAGTCAGTGCCGTGTGGGAGTGAGAAGGCAGTGCCGTGTGGGAGTGAGAAGGCAGTGCCGTGTGGGAGTGAGAAGGCAGTGCCGTGTGGGAGTGAGAAGGCAGTGCCGTGTGGGAGTGAGAAGTCAGTGCCGTGTGGGAGTGAGAAGGCAGTGCCGTGTGGGAGTGAGAAGGCAGTGCCATGTGGGAGTGAGAAGGCAGTGCCGTGTGGGAGTGAGAAGGCAGTGCCGTGTGGGAGTGAGAAGGCAGTGCCGTGTGGGAGTGAGAAGGCAGTGCCGTGTGGGAGTGAGAAGGCAGTGCCGTGTGGGAGTGAGAAGGCAGTGCCGTGTGGGAGTGAGAAGGCAGTGCCGTGTGGGAGTGAGAAGGCAGTGCCGTGTGGGAGTGAGAAGGCAGTGCCGTGTGGGAGTGAGAAGGCAGTGCCGTGTGGGAGTGAGAAGGCAGTGCCGTGTGGGAGTGAGAAGTCAGTGCCGTGTGGGAGTGAGAAGGCAGTGCCGTGTGGGAGTGAGAAGGCAGTGCCGTGTGGGAGTGAGAAGTCAGTGCCGTGTGGGAGTGAGAAGGCAGTGCCGTGTGGGAGTGAGAAGGCAGTGCCGTGTGGGAGTGAGAAGTCAGTGCCGTGTGGGAGTGAGAAGGCAGTGCCGTGTGGGAGTGAGAAGTCAGTGCCTTGTGGGAGTGAGAAGGCAGTGCCGTGTGGGAGTGAGAAGGCAGTGCCGTGTGGGAGTGAGATCTCTGTGTTTGACTTCCTGGGGCTGGAGCCTCACGAGAGCAACCTCTGACAGCAGGCCCCAAGTTGACAAGTCATTCCTGTAGTGCCAGTGAAATGCCGATGCCAATCTGACTTCTTGGGATTGCCGTGGCTGTAGCCTCACGAGCTCAACCTGTGACAGCGCAGGTTGGGAAAGAATTCCTTGTTCTGTACTGTACTGTACATGCTGCTGTTGCTGCTGCTGCTGCTGCTGTTGCTGCTGTTGCTGCTGTTGCTGATGCTGCCACTGCTGCAGTGCCCTGTTGAATTCCTGGGACTTCCGTGGCTGGAGCCTCATGAGCGCAACCTCTGACAGCACAGCAGCATCCTAGAATGTTGCAGAGCTTCTGAAAGGATTCCACCACATGCTGCTGCTGCAGCTGCCGCTGCTGGAGTGCTTTGTTGACTTCTTGGGACTGCCGTGGCTGGAGCCTCATCATGTGCGCAAGCTGTGACAGCAGAGGTTGAGAATGTTCCAAAAAATACCCTTCTGCGCTTGCGGTTGCAAATAGGAATCCCAAATGTGCTGCTGCTGCTGCCGCTGACGGATTATGCTGCTGCTGATTATGGATACGGTAGTGCGTTGTCTTGTGGAAATGCAACACCAAGATACCAATTTACTACCGGTACCAGCAATTTCACAGCAACAGATGCTGGTTTTTCCCAAAGCTGGACGCTCGAGTGAGTAAAAACGGTATATCTCCATCCATGGCAGTTTTCATGCGCAGTTCCTTTATGGCAAGAAGCAGAGAGTCTGAATCTTGGCATACCGGTATTCAATTGGAGTTGTGCAAAGTTATGCAGGGGCTCTAGAAAGCAGGGCCTATGCTAGGATTTTAGGCATCCTGAGCCCTCAGGGCAGTTTTTAAGATCTCAAAATACCCTGATTTTTCAGGGCAAAAACTCATGGGCATCCTGAATTTTCAGGACACCAGCTGGAATTTATCCTGTCACGTCAGGGCAATGTCTTTTTATAACCCTGATTGGTATTGGTGATTGCACATGTACGGTAAAACAAAATCTACCATAGAGGAGAAGGAACGAGGTGTGCAGGTCGTCTTGTGCCTTGACCTGCCACCTCACAACCGTGCGTGCGTGCTGTCCAGAGATGTGGTTGGCCACTAAAGTGGCCAGGGAAAATCCTCGAAGGCGGAAAACACACCCCCCCTACCCCCCATCCACCCCCCCTCCCTCCTCCTCCCCTTCCCCCTTCCCTCCCCTTCGGTATTCGCGTCAGGGCATCGCCTCGCCTGATATCCATCCTGATGTTTCAGGGGAAAAAAAAACGGCCTTCCTGAAAGTTCAGGGCATAAAAATACATTTTTCCTGAAGTCACAGGGTTAAAACTAGCATTATCCTGAACTTTCAGGGAGAACCCCCCACAACATCCTGAAATCAGGGTAATCAGGATGTTTTACCCTGATATCGTGGGGCCTGCTAGAAAGACCCGAGCCTCACACACTCTCTGACCCAGAGAAAAGCCAAAAGCTGGAAAGCCAATAGCTGAAAGGCCAATAACAGTAAATAGCTGAAGCAGGCCAGTGGAGTAAACCATACTTGCTTACTACGGTAACCATACATCCAATGGCAATGGACATTTGCACACCAACAAAACCGGAACTCCTGCCTGGCATTACCTGCACCATCCCACTGTGTCTCTACGCGGCTGTTGCAGGAGCTTAGGCAGCCCCCTGGTGATTTAGGCAGCTCAGGCAGACCAGGCACTTCAACTCAAACCCTTTCAGGCAGATCAGAAAGCAGGCAGCTCAGGTGGTTTCGGCGGTGTGAGCAATTTCATTCATCTGAGCTAAGCAATTTAAGCGGGGACCTTGGAGGCGATCTTCTCCTTGGCCTTGTGCAGCTCGAGCACCTTCTTCACCATCCTCTGCTCCTCTGCTTGGAACGCATGCATGAGTCTGTTGTGGCGATGCGTAGAGGAACAATGCAAAGAGACAAGGTAAGGGAAGGGTTAGGAAGTAAATCAGAAAACACTTGTTGACCATCTTCTGCTCCTCTGCCCGGAACGCACGGATGATTCTGTGGACGGGGAGCAGAGCAGAGCAGCAAGGGAGAGGGAGGGAGGGGGGGGGGACATGCGGGGGAAAAGGGGGAAACGAGGGGTGAACGAAGGAGGGGCATGTGGGGAGATGGGGGGTGAGCTGATGGGGGTTGGGAGGAGGAGAGGGGCATGGATGGGGGAGGGGAATGAGGGGTGAATGGATGGGAGGAATTGAGGGGAGGATGGCGAGGGAAAACGCAAGGTGGATGGAGGGGGGATGAAGGCCGAATGAGCGAGGAGGCATGGATGGGGGAAGCGGATGAGAGATGTGTGGGGAGGGAGAGGAGATGGAGGGTGGGTGCTGGGAAAGGTGTGAGCGCGGGGAAATAAGCGGTGATCGCAGTGAGCGGAGGGAAGAGGGGGGAAATGGGGGGAGAGCGGGGAGATGAGGGGAGAGGGGGGAGATGAGGGGAGAGCGGGGAGATGAGGGGAGAACGAAGGGGGGGGGGTTGAACAGAAAACGGGGGAATGGGGGACGAGCTAGAAGAGGAAGGAGCGGGGGGAGGGATGGGGAGAAGGCGCGGGGAGGGGAAAAGGGAAACACGGGGAAGGGGAGAAAGCACAGGGAAGGGGAGAAAGCACAGGGAAGGGGGAAACACGGGGATGGGGAGAAAGCACGGGGCCGGTCCCCCACATCGCCTCTCACCAGTCTTTTGTCACGCACCGCAAAGGGGGGAGGGGGGAAAATGCGGAAAGGGGCTCCAAGAGGTGCCTCAGAGTAACCGCCCGCTTCCCCAGCGTCGCCTCACTGCGGGAAAAGGGGCCGTTCCGCTACGTCGCTCCTCGCCAGTCCATCACCCTCTCATCCCCCTCCCAACCACCTCTTCTTCCTCTCTACTTCTTCCAGCCTGTGCAAACGCGATCCGCTGAGGATTCACCACCACCGCGATCTCAAATCGACGCTGTTCGTGCGTTCGCATGAAAAGGATCCGAAAAAAAGGCACTACTAATGCATCCGTAGATCGACGCTAGTATCTCGTCCGCGAAGGTCCCTATCTTATCCGCAATACACTAGTTCAACAAACATCAGAATTTACAACTATTGCCAACCGTACCGATATCAGAACCGCGCAACTTACGCCACGTTATAAAGATCCAATGCAGAACCGCGCCACGTTACGCCGCGAACTAGCGATAGTTACGGTACTAGAGGTGCGAAGCACCCCTGCTAGCGTGAGTGTCATTAGCTACGGTCACCACTGACATTAGACTCGCGTACTAACGGAATGAAATGCTAACCTTATTACTGACTAACGCTTACATCTGCCATAATCGACAGCCAATATTGGACGGTAATAACATGCAACGCGGAACTAATCCGGTCTGACCAGATACGACTGGACGCAGTCATGGGAGTTAGGAATGAAGGAATGAGGTAAGGAAGATAGAGGATCGTGAGGTAAGGAAGGTAAGTGGATCTTGAGGTAAACGACTGTGAGGTAGACGAATGTGATGTGTTGTTGATAAGGTTGTGCTGGATGTGCCACGATGGCAGAAACGCACCGTCATTCCTATTGGCTCGCGCAAGTCGTTTTTCTACCACCCCCTTGCAATTTCAGCTGTCCAACTCGGGTTCGCGAGCAGCAAAACTGGTTGCGAGCGCAGCTGAATACTTGCTTGTTCAATCACGCACAAATTTCTGCACCATCCCAACCAACGCCGTCCCGCACCTCACGCAAAATCATATTGTCGGGTGAAGGGAATAGTAGCTAATGTCACAGCTCCTAACAAGTTCCAGCCTGCCCTAGGTCCATCCGTGCCAAACGTATTTCATCCATCATCCATACCTGGCTTGATGCCAAAACTCTACAACATAAACGGTTTCGATTGCAAACCATAAAAACCGAAACCCAACCAAACAGCAAAATCTAACGAGGCTGTGAATCAAAGGTGAACAGTCCAACTGACAACAATCGTGTGGAGTGTTTCGAACCCAGTCAGGCACTGTAGGTTTGTGTAGGTATTGGATCCGCTCGTACAGCGTACTCCAATTGGGCTGCCACAGTATGTCTGCTGCTCGAATTTCCCTCCTGAAGCATGTTGGCTCATGGACGGGGAAATTCGTTGGCTCATTTTACACACACGATCACCATACCATGCCATGATGCCACATCCATACCCTGGGCCAAACAAAAAATTATCGGTGATAGTGGTAGCATACCGCTTTCTACCTCGTAAACACTGTCTGAACCGTACTGACTGTTTGTACAACAGGGTCTGGCGAAACCCAGTTTCGGAATGCTACCGAGGAACGGCTGACAGCAGAAGTTACCTGTTTGCTCGGCAATTCGCTAAAGCATGACCCCAGCTTCTCCTTCTGGCAGATGATGATTTTACACCTCCTCCATCGCTCCTCTCGCTCTACCCGCTGCTTGTGTCAGACCCAACCCACACGGATTTTCACTTCCCTCCCATCTCTTCTGCCAGCCGCCTCCCAGCCATTATAGCGGCTCAATTTAGCAGCACGCTTCGGGAAACGGATCGCGGCGGCTGGATGAGCGGAAGCATTATAGTACACGTCACTAGATTATCGAATCTTGTGTTCCAAACCGTGTTTTTTTCGGGCCCATTGAAACAGCGTATGTGTCCCAAATTGAGGACATCAGTTTTTGTTGCACATTAGGCGGTCCAATTAGACGCTGGGTACATTTGGCGGTCCAATCAGAGCTGGGTTCATCTTGTCGGCGGTTTTTTCTGATCCATCCACCATTCTCCACGGTGGCACGTTTTGGGCAAGGCGGATTTCCAACGGTTCACCGTTTTTCAACGAGTAGCTCATCCCAACGGTCCGTAGTCAGACATTCCCCGCATCCTCATGCTCACGTCACGTTCCGGCTCTTCTTCTTGGAATTTCAGTTTATTTCCACAGCCTTCTAGGCATTTTGCTAGTGAGCTTGGCTTCCGGTCGCTCTACCAGTTCGAATCATCACCATCTTCTCACGTCGACACCGTTCAGCCAGGCCTGGATCAAATGGTCGCCTCGCGGAGCTTCAGAACCTCGACCGTCGGAGTTTCTGCAACGTAGCGATTCAACTTCGCTTGTCGTCGTTTTTTACGTCAGGTACAACGACCATCCTTTTCACGCTCTCGTACCAGCGACTTGATTCCGTCAATGTACTCGACCTTCATTTTATTTCGACTCCGATTCTGACAATGGTGCTCGTTGTTCCATCATGCGCAGGACGCCATGGTAAGCATCGGATCGTCGTGGACCCGCATCTCTTCATCAACCTCTTCGCGACGCTGGCTACGACGCGCCTGAAGCAACATGGATTTTCCCGACTTGTGACGGTGAAGGTTGAATGTATCACCTTCCACCACCCTCACCACAGAGCCTCCTCCCTGGTAAAGGTTTGGTAAAGGTTTGGTAAAGGTTTGGTACAGGTTCGGTAAAGGTTCCCAGGAGGTATTTGGTTGGTATTGGCTCTGTGGTGGGGCAGCACATGTTTCGTCCACGTTTGCAAAGTCTTCATTTCCTTTGCATGCTATCTTCACTTCCGTCTACTAACTTTGTTTTTTCTTATACTTGCAGATTTTAATGGAGGCTGCTACGCGTATTTCCGAAGATTTCAGAGGAGCAACGGCCTTCGGAACAACAGAGGAGCAGCTCCACGAATGAAGGTTGAAAGTATCAACCCCACCCTCCACACTGCACAGAGCCACCCCCTGGTTAAGGTTAGGTACAGGTACAGTTGTGGTAAAGGTCCCCCTGAAGGTTTTTTCGGTTGGTATTTGGCTCAGCAACACACTTTTTTTTCCACGCTTCTTTTCGGTTTGCATGCTTCCATGCCCGACCTTTACTAATTCTGATTTATCTCCATACTTGCAGGTTCTATTGAGGGTCTACTGCGCTCTACGGAGGACTTCAGAGGAGCAACACCCTTTGTCGGCCTTCCATCTTTTTGGCGGACAACAGAGGAGCAGCTCCACGAGTGAAGGTTGAACGTATCAGCCCCTCCTTCACACTCGAAAGAGCCACCCCCGGTTGAGGTTAGGTACAGGTCGAGGTATGGTATGGTAAAGGTCCCCCTGAAGGTTTTTCGGTTGGTATTTGGCTCTGTTTTTTCCACGCTTTTTTTCGTTTTGCATGCTTTATTTTGCCCGACCTTTACTAATTCTTGTTTATTTCTTTACTCGCAGGTTCTATTTGAGGGTCCATTGCGTTCTTCAAATGGTGGCCTTCCATGCTTCATGGCGGGCAGCAGAAGAGGACTTCACGTCTGGTGAAGGTTGAAGTATCAACCACACACACCCTCCACGCTCCTCAGAGCCACCCCCCTTGGTTCAGGTTGAGGTTATGGTAAAGGTCGAGGTTGGTAAAGGTGGTAAAAGTCCCCGTAAGGTATTTTGGTTGGTATTGGCTCTGCAGGCAGCACACACTTGCACCACACTTGCAGCACCGCTCATTTCTGCATGTTTTTTTCACTTCTGTTTACTAACTTAGTTCCCTTGATCTCTTGCAGGTTATATATATCTTTTTTTAAGGCGGGGTGAACGTACCTGCCAACAGCACCTGGCAGGTGCCTTCTCTTTCTCCACCAGCAGTAAGTTTCACTCATCATTTTAATCACTTGCTGCATGTTGGTACGTTTTCTTACATTGACTCGGCTTTCTAACTTGGATTTTTTTTATTTCACTTGGCAGGTTGCTTCACCAAGGGATTTTCAGCATTCTCAAGAATCAAGATCCATGGAAGCACCATGGCCTTGTTTTTTGAGGCACCTCAAGGCTCAACTGTGGCAAGATAAGTACCAACTCCAGCCTTTTCCTTTGATTACTCGCTCCAATGCTCGTCCACTGCTTACTCCCAGCTTCTTAATTCCTTTCTTTTTTTTTTCAAGTTGTGCTTCAACTCGTCATTGACTGACTTGTTTTATTTCGCCTCATGGCAGGTCCTCCAAGCGCCATGTGCACACTATGGACCCCCAAGGCCTTGCGCACCGCGCTACAGTCCAGCAAGCCCAAGATTCATGGAAGCACCATGGCCTTGTTTTCTGAGGCGCCTCAAGGCTCAACTGTGGCAAGATAAGTACCAACTCCAGCCTTTTCCTTTCGCTCCAATGCTCGTCTACTGCTCACTCCAAGCTTCTTGATTCCTTGTTTTTTTTTCAAGTTGTGCTTCAACTCGTCATTGACTGACTTGTTTTATTTCGCCTCATGGCAGGTTTTTCAAGCGCCATGTGCACGCCATGGACCCTCAAGGCCTTGCACCGCGCCACAGTCCAGCAAGCCCAAGATACATGGTGGCACCTTGGCCTGATGAGGCGCCTCAAGGCTCAACCTCCGCTCCCCAGTCCAGACTCTTCAACCTCAGATAAGTTTCAGCCTTTACCATCAAGATCCCTTTTTAATGCACATGGCTTTATTTGCTGATTTGCTTCAATTCATGATGCATTTTTTCTTTTCTTTTCTTTTCGATCCTGTACTAATATGTGTCTTTCTCCACTTCTGTCTGCAGGTGCCTTCATGGTGTCTGTGGATGTGGCGACGTGGCCAGTGCACAAGATGGGGGTGAAGCTTTGAGCATTGGCTGGGGACTCGATTCCGGGCCAAACTGGACTGGTTCTGTCCCCTCCCGCCCCCGCCAAGTGACAAAGCTGTCTAGCCAGCAGTGATGTCATTTGGTGGAGGTGGGGGAGAACAGAGCCAGTCCCTAGTAGGGCACCCGCACGTCTTGGTCCTGGCACTGCTCAAGGCCCACCATCCCTCTCTGCCTGTGCGGTGCACTGCCAGTCCATGCCGGGGTAGGCATGGATGGCATGGCATCCTGTCACTGAAGCCAGTCCACTTTCACCGGCTAGCTTGACTTCCTGTCTGGAAGTAGTTGATAGGATAAGACACAATCAACTACAGTGTTTGAGTGTATCTCAGATATTATGAGATTGTAGTAATGCTTATCTAGGTAGAGCATAGAGTGCCT